TGGATCAGAAAATTGTGTTAGATTAAACAAATGATAGAAAATTATATGCTACCTATCTCAAGTAAAGAATAAAACAGCAATTTGCTATTGCTGTTTTATTTCTAATAAAATATTTTCAATGTGAAATCTCAACGAGAAAGCTCAAAAAATTCAATGAGAATATTTCTAAAATTTAAATTTACATGTTATATATATAAATGTAAAAAAAAGAAAGTGTTTTTATGTACACAGATACACATACATACATACGAAGATATTTTCATTGGTTTCGTAAGAGGATAATAGTGACTTCCTAAACTTCGTCGTCATAAACGTCAGAAAGTTTTTGAAATAAGTTAATTTAATAGGCTACTACTTTCACTATCTCTCCGATCGTATACAACCTCCTAGCATTTCTTGAAAATAAGATTTTTTTTAAACTTGTAATTATAACTCCGATCGAATGTATTGACGATTAAGCAAATGAAAAAAAAAAAAGTTAAAAAAAATAATTTTATTTTACAGGCTTTTACTCTACGTCGTGGAAATCTCAGTGAAAAGAAATGTTATCAACAAAAGAAAGAGAAAAGAAAATACAGAACAAGATTCTGACAGCTTTCAACAAAAGTATCAACGAACTCGTATCAAGATAAATTATAAACTAAAAAAAAAAGTAGTGAAAATTGATTTTGCAACAATATATGGCGTGAAATTGAAAGAATAAAAAGTTAATAAAAAGAGTTTCTAGGAAGAAAGTATTTAGACGTGTTATCACCATGATCAGCTCTTGAAATATGCTACCAAACTTTTCTAATAATTTTACACACACGTGTTCATAAAGAAATACCTATGCAAATGTATAAATATAATAATTCATTTAAATATAATAATAATAATAATAATAATAATAAAGATATGAAACACATATACACAAATGTATGTATGTAATATATATCTGTATAAGCATCTATAATTATAATATATCTATAATTATAAAATACCTTCGGGACACAATAAAGATAATACAATAAAATATATGAAAAACATATACACAAATGTATGTATGTAATATATCTGTATAAGCATCTATAATTATAATATATCTATAATTATAAAATACCTTCGATACACAATAAAGATAATACAATACAATACAATAAAATACATGAAAATAATAATAATAAAATAATAATAATAATAATAATAATAATAATAATAGCGTGAAAGAAATAGGTGTGGACCAATCGTTACTCGTTTCTAGTTCGCGTCCGTTCGAATGAAATTCCTTTGCTAGAGAGTTCACTGTCACGGTCTTACGATCATTTAAGAAAAAGAGGATAAAGAGTATCGCGTATTGCTCGTTTTCATTTTCGCTCGACTGCAACTACCATCGTTACTAATAAGCATAGATCTTATATTTCTTTGTATATACATACAAACACACACACTCTGATACAATTTCCTCTCTCTCCCTCTCTCCATCTTTCTATCTCTGTGTATAAATTTAACGAGACACGCTAGAAGATCGGTTTCCCTTTCTCCCGGTACAAAATCCGATACATAGATACAATAGGAGATATCGATTCTCGACTACTGTAGTTCGATTTCTGCTCATCGCCTACTTTTCTCATTCCTTCTCCTCATTTTTTTTACTCTATTTCCATTTTTTTTTTCTTCGAACTATCGAGGTCGATTGAAGACCAACAGATACGTTTTGTTCGATCTATTTTAAATGTGCAATATGATTTTACATTGTTTTATTTAAATTTTATTCAACGAGTTATTATCGTTAAATCGAATTATTCAATAATTTAACATAATTTACACGTGTATACCTGTAACGCAGTAGTTAGACACTTTTAACACATTTTTAAATGTACTTTTCATTTGTTTTTCTTTTCTTACTTTTATACTTTTTTTTGTTAGTATTGTCGTTTTAATTTATATGTTTAGGTAAAAAAAAAAATTGGGATATTCCGTATGTAAGTGGATTGGTTGAAAAATTTTAAGCCTAACAATTTTCTTTCGGTCAGACTTAATATTAAATAAAATTGATTTTTTTTCTTGAATATCCAAACTTTTCAACCCACTCTAGTGTGTAATGGAAATAGGAAAAACTATAAGAAAAAAATTAATTAACTATATTACTCTCAATCTCTTTTTCTGTTTTTTTTTATACATATTATTAAGAATATAATTTATTTATTATATAAGAAAAAAAATAATTATAATAATTGAATATTACCTGTGTAGTAAATGTAGGAACACTTTTGTTGTTTACCAATCCGTTAAATGTTTATTGAATTATAGAGTAATAGAAAGGAATGTGTTCTTACAATTAATTTTACATTATTATCACACTTGTAGTGTCCTTTGATAATAGCAAACTTAATTTTTAAATGCCAATATAATCGGACAATGCGCTTTGTTGCACAACAATTTTGCGGTTGAATTAATTTAAGATAATGAAGCGGATATTAATGATGTTCTGAAACATAACATTATACTTTTCTATTTCCATCTCTTTAAAAAGGATGTTTTACAAGTGGTATTATCTTATTAGCGGAATACACTTTAAATACTTAAAAAGAAGAATTATGATTAAACATTTAAATGAGAATCTAAAATGGAAGTCAAAACGTTATTCAATTTGTTAATATTTGTTGAAGTGAAACTTAATAATTGAAAAATATTAACGGAAGATTCTAGTGTGTAATGTGACACGCACGTTTGTCGTGTATGTGTGTATAACAAGAGCAACATCAAAATTTATAGACTCCGATTTTTTTTAAATTTTACACTGTTGTAGATTTCGTTTGCATCCTACGAAAAGTTGCCATACTCAACCATTTCCAAGATATCAAAGGAAAAAATTTATCAAACATTCTTATGTACCCCAGCTTTTTTTCTTTAATTTTAATTATATTTCTGTATTTTTTATTTTCGTTTTCGTGCAATATGTTTTTTTATTCACTATATTCTTTCTTCCTAAAATTTCTTTATCTTGAATTAAATCATTTAAATTATTCTTTTTTTTTCCATCTTTTTTAGAATATTTTATCATAATTTTATGAAGAATATAATGGAAAAAAAAAAAATAAAAAAAATAAAAATAATATATTTTTTATATGAAATTCATTGTGAAATGGAAATCTCAAAAGAAGTTGACTAATTTGCAAAAGATATTCGTAGAAAAAAAGAATAAAAAAAATAAAAAAAATTAAATAAGAGAAAACGATATTAAACGCGATCGAATGTTAAGCGTATTAGTTTGTGTATGTATAAGTATATAATATGTACGTCCTTGAGTAAAACACATTATAACAAGGAACGGTTGCATTATCGTAGCATACAGTTCATCGACCAGTTACATCTTTCACTTTGGTCGGATCTCACATACGATTTTCATAAAAGGCGTGACTAGAAGGCATCTAATGTAAGAGCTAGAAATATCAATTAAATATGAATTTGCGGAACAATACGATCTGATAATAATAATTGTTTCGCTCGTTAATCAACGTTAACTTTCGAGTTGGAATAAAAAGTCATTGATTTATCTTCTATTTTATTATTATTTTACACATTTAAATTGTATTCATTTAACGATCGCATTTTATTCCAATTTGACTTATGAGTAAAAGAAACATTAAAAACATCGTTTTTGATGAAGTTTTTGATGTCTTCATTTAAATGATATAGTGATTATGAATTTTAATTATAATTCTATTTTTCGACAGAATTTATTTCATTTATTTCAATGTTTCTATGTAAACACCAATTGCATACACTTTATTTTTTAATAATAATTAGAATCATTACATATAATTAATTGTTAATATATTTATATAGTCTTTATAACTTTCCCTTTTTTTTTTACTAGTTTGAGAAGTCCGTTTCCTTTACAATCGCTTGATAACAAGTCTTATTACAATCTATAATATTTCCTCGAACAATAAGAAATAGATTTTTAATATATATAGACATTGTATAAATTTTATTTATTTACCCATAAAAAAAGTAATGTACATTTGAACATACTTAAATTTAAAAATATGGAATTGCAATTTTGAAATGATTTATTTTTTTTTGATTTATTTTAAACTGATAGAATAGAATATGGATATATTTATCAAAATTCCTTAAAAAAGTCATATAAAAACTACTCGTATTTATACATAAACAATAATTAAAATACAAACAATCAATTTACATAACATTTACTTCTTCGATACTCCCACAATTTCTACAATAATAATATAAATAAATAAATAAAAAGATATACAAAAAATCTCATATTAATTACATCAACGAAAATTTTGAAATTCGTATAAGTAGCAATTAAAATAGCAATATTAAAAATAGAAAGAGGAGTGAAACTGCGAACGGATGTTCGCATCGGTATCACTAAGACAGCTCGATCTTGATCTTGGCCGTTCACCTTGCTGTCTACCTTTCAAAAAAAAAAAAACAGAGACAAGAGAAACAAGTGGGGGTGGAAAGGGGAGGAGAAATAAGAGAAGGTTGTGAGAGAGAACAAAAAGGATGTAAGAATCGTGAACGTTAGAATCGTGAGGTAAACACGTAAGGAAGAAGGAAAGAGGAAGGAAGTGGAGTAACTGAGTAAGAAAGATAGTAATAAACTCTCCTGCGGTACTTTGAAACGGCTCGACGATTAGTCGCCTCCTTTCACGTGCACCACGGGTGCAAAAGACTCCCTTTCATTCTTATCCGACTTCTATCAACGTACGTGTATAAAAGCAGTCTCTTACAGGATGCAATCGACAGATCAAAAGCGGATTTGCAGCTATCGTGTGCTCTTCGAAGGATTTTTTTTTATATCAATTTCATAAAATCCTTTTTCTCTGAGAGATCATTTTTATTTTTTATTTATTTCCTTTTTTTTTTTTTTTTCTCTTCTTTTTTCGTTATTTTTATTTCTATCTTTTTTGTTGTTTATCCTCCCTGCTTTACACAAATAGAGTTCCGTTTTTACAGAAAAATAATTACCGACTAGAGATAAGATGACGTTGGGAGTCGCGGTAAGTTGATAAGATTAATTTTTTTTTTTTTCTTGGTTCATTCATTTAGAATGAATAATATGCGAGTGCAAAACTGGGAGGATACCTTATATATCATTTTTATTATAATATTTTGTAATATATTTGTGTGTTTATTAAGATTATTTTAGGTTGGATTTAATTATAAATTGTGTGACTAAAATTGGATTACCAGCTTACTTCTTTGAGATTATAACTTACGATAATATTCGATATATTTGTTGTGTAAGATTTTTCTTTTATTGGGTCGAGTAGTAATAAATAAATAAAATAGACAACGATGTCCTATTATTGATGTAAGTTTGAAAAATTTTTTATAACATAATATTCAAACATATTTATTTATGAAATATAAAGATGGCCGACGTTCTCCTAATCGTCAACGCGTAATCGAAACACCTTGTGCGAAAAAATAACAGAATATTATAAATATCCGTTACTTTTTCTTTTCATTTGTTCACAGTTGACTTTGTTACTCCTTACATCGATATTGAACTTAACCCAGGCCGGACACGGAGGAGGAAGCCAGTAAGTTATTTTTCTAAATACGATTATTCCATACAAAATAAACTATCATAAATCATCGGAAATTAGAGTGTCCGAGTGAACGTTCGTTCAGAAAAAAATGTTAACAAAAATAACGATGACTCTTTCTATGCTTTTATTTATAGATCTTATATATAATAATAGGAATAATAATAATAATATATAACCAATAGTATGGGGTAGATCGAGCGTGTCCTTTCTCACGATTTCGATCTTGTCTCGTAGATCGTTCAGTGCTCGGACTTTCGCCAGTTTTATTTGCAAAGGTGTATGCCCATCTAAAGTTGCCCCGTAAATCTTACGAGAGAAAACGTTTCAAAGAAAATAAAATCATCGATTTTTCTTTTATCTTTTTCATTCTTTCTTTTTATTTTCTTTTTTTTTATCGCATCCCAGACTAGTAGAAACGTTAAATTATATTCTAATAGACATTTCTGACAAGACATAATTGATTTAAATAATGTTTCAGTAAACATGTGGTGATTCACGTACCGTATAAAATCAAGCATATTTACCATACTCATACGATTACGAAACATGTACACCACGGAGGAGGAGGAGGTGACAAATACGAAGTTTTGGGTTACACTGTGGGTCATCCGATCGATTTGGGAGGTCACGGAGGTCACGGAGGTGGAGGAGGAGGTGGTGGACACGATTTCGGTGGAGGTGGTGGCGGACACGACTTCGGTGGTGGACATGATTTCGGTGGTGGAGATTATGGAGGTGGCCATATCGAAGTTGGAGGAGGTGGATACGGCGGGGGTGGTGGATACGGAGGGGGAGGAGGAGGCCACGGTGGATGGGAGGAAAGTGGAGGTGGATACGAACTCGGTGGTTATGGTGGTGGTGGTGGTGGTGGTGGTGGTGGTGACTGGAGTGGTCACTGATCGTAATCGTCATGAATTTAATTACAAATTCATGAATCATGACAGCCTTCGATAAAAGTGATTTATATTCCTTCCCTTTTTCACGATTTTTCCGTCCATTTGTTCTTTTTTTTACCTGTCACGTGTCCTAGTCTACCCATATTTACTTGATATATTTGTACTTGTCACATTATCGTTTGTCTATCAGTTTTACGTGTATATATAGTTTACTTGTTTTATACTTCGTCGTTATTATAATATTTAATTCTATCGTATTATTTGTTTTTCTTTTTATGTTTTTCTATTTGCTTTATTTTTTATACACCATTTGTGATATATATGTATTATATAACAAATAAATTATATACTTTTTTTTTATTTACAAAGTGCGATTTAATTTAATCGGATGGAAAACATGGAAGATCGTTGAAACGAAAGATAGAAAATTGTGTTGATAGAAAAAAATATAAGATCTTGTTTAAAAAAATAAATACTATACATGTGAATACAGCGAATATAAGATTCAGCTTATTCCTTGATGTTCTTGTCATACATATATAAAAAAATATTTTCTAAATCTTACTACCCTCATATATAATCAGCGTAAATTTCTATAAATAATACTATTCTAGCTAGAATTAATTTTATGAATATTTCCTTCAAATTACTTTTTTTATCTTGTTCCCTTCGTGAGAATGATCCTGTTCAACGTCCTCCTCGGTGACAAAATATCGTCCTGCCTGAGTTTTAACAATATCCTTATTATCCTCCTCCTCCTCCTCCTCCTCTTCCTTTGATTTTTCTTCTCTCTCCTCTTCCTCAGTCCCAAAATTATATTTGTTTAATTCTTTAGTATAAATAGCTCCGCTTTCCAATTGCAATCCTTTGTGATATCCTTCCTCGTAATTGTATGTTGGTTTTTCTTGAGGATTATCAGAAATTTCATGAACTTCCGGATGTTGCGAATACTGCGGCGGATACGAATAACCAATCAAACCATTCATGTGATCCTTCGATGACAAATGTTCATCCTGAGATTCACGTTGTGGAAAGTAAGAATCCGAATGAACATAATTATTATAAAAATCTTGTTGATCCTGATAACCTTCCTTAGATCCTTCTTCCTGTTTAACTTCGTGATTCACGTCACGGTGACTTTGCCCGTTATCGTCATGGTGAAAGTAACTATTTGACCAGTATTTCCACTCGTGATGATCATCCTTATGATGTTCTTCATCGTGATACGATGGTTTTTTCTTCTTTGTTATTTCTTTTTTCTTTGGTACATACTTTTTACGTGGTACTAATTTATGTATGAATATCGTTTTGGTGTGTATATGGTGCTTTATGATCTCCGGCACATGTATCTTGAAGTGGATGCTGAATAAAAATTTGGGACAAAGGAAAAAAATCTTTTTAAATGATATATAAATTGTTAAAAATCTCTTACAAGACGAAATAAAATATATAAAACGATTATTTTGGTATTTAATTGAATCCAGATAGTATCTATATTGATATTTTTTAAAAATTATTGTTTAATTTAAAATATTAATATATGTAATTAAAAAATTACTTCAATTTTATTTTATAATATTAAAAGTGTTTAAAAATTTTTATTAAACATTATATATAAAAATGTTAATGAAATGTTATGAATAAATGCATAATTTTATTAAAATTGATAAAGAGTGGTCATTTTGAGGTTTCTTATAATAGAATCTAAATTATCTCTGAATAAAAATTGTGACTAAATTTAAAAATCTTAAATACAAATACGTATTTATATTTATTCAATTATAAATCTCTCGGAGAAAGGATTATTTTCACTGAAATTTATAAAACTTGCGGTCTATTAGAAACTTTAATGAAATATATATTTTTTAATTAATCTTTCAAAGAAATCATTTCGATTAAAATATATTAAACAATCATTTTGAGATTAAATAAAATTGAAATAAAAATTTGGATGAAATTTCAGTCTCAAATACACACACAAATATATACATGCATAAATACATTCCATAATGAATTTCTCAAAGATTATTTTCACACTAAGAAAGCGTAAAAAAGCAATAATTAATGATATAAAAAAAATGATCATTAACAATAATTAGCAATATTAAATTATTTATTCCAAACCAACTCACTGTTCTTTTTCTCCGTTTCCGAGGAAAATTTCATTTAGCAGAACGAGGATCAAACACATAGATTTCATATTGTATATATTTTAAATAAAATTTATAATTCAATAACAAAATTTTCAATTTAGTGTATACGATCAAGAATAATCGAATCGTTCACGATCGTAAGACGATTTTCAAAGTGAATCTGAATCGTCGACGGTGAAGTTCGTCGTTTATATGCTCGATCTTCACATCTCGCCATTCAAGCGTTTTATTCTTTTAAAAGTTCTTTACGCTTCATCGAATCTCTCTCTTTATACCCTTAACTCTTCCTATAATATTCTACGGTAAAACAAAATCACGCCGATTAAATTCGTTCGTACTTAACAATAACAGTTTATTGTCTTTTACAAAAAGAACAACACAAAATTATTCCTGCTTAGAAAACCAAAAGTTATTGACCTTTACTTATTTTCATTACCACGACTTGTTTTTTTTTTTAAATTTCATTTACGAAGTGACTTGTAAATTTCAAACCATTATAGATGAAGTAAAAAAAAGAAAAATATTACGTTTTATTTTTCTTATTATATATCTTTTTTCTTTTTTTAATATTAAAAAAAATACTAGCAACGTTGAAAACGAGGTTTTATTTTAATTAATCAAATAGGTGTGTTTAGATATTCTTCTATTTTTTTTTACATATACATGGATTAGTAAAAAAGTTTTGAACCTAACGTAAAAACAATCTTTTTGTCGGTCAAAATCGCTTTTATTTAAAAAAAAAATTGATTTTTGTTGAAGCTCGAAACTTTTCAATCCACACCCCATACAGAAAAGAAATAAAAATTAACACTATTTTTTTTTTTAACGATGGGTATGATTAAATATTTTTTATATATATATATGAAAGAGATTAAAATTAACGCCATATTGTTTTTATCATCGAAATGTTTTTTATTACGGTTTCATTACACTTACAAATATCACTAAACAATAACCCAAGATTTACTTAAATAAAATAACAAATACGTTTGGCAATCATTTATTAGAATAAACATTTGTACTATTCAATAACTATTCTTTGAATTCTCGTTCTACATAGAGATGAAATATATTTTATTTAATAATTCAAATTCATCTTCGATAAAAATCGTAATTCTCGTGATCGTGATCGTGATCGTGATCGTGATCTTCCTTCTCTTCGTGATGTGGTATTATTTTGTATACTGTATGAGTATGCTTCACTCTTTTCACTTTGTAAGGTACATGTATGACCACCTTCTTTCTACGAAAACAAACAACAATTATAATAATAATAATAAACAATATTAAGTGAGAAAATGAGAGATTAAAAATCAAATTTTATCGAAATACTTACGAAGAGGAGGATGGTGATATCAAAACGAAAAGGACAAAGAAAAAAATCAAAGTCTGTAATAAATAAATAAACATATTATGTTAAGTCATTTATATGGTATATTTTGTATAATATTAATATATTTAATATACTAATATTAATATTTATATTATATATTAATTTAAATATATATTCGTGGATGGGTTGGTAAGTTTTGAGCAGAAACAATCTTTTTTTTTTTTGTAAATAATTTGTATTTGTTCAAGCTCCAGACTTTCCAACGTCCCCTCTCCAAACCGCCACATATATTATTTATAATAAAATACATTTTCGTATATATTATAATATATATATATTTTACATTAATATTACTTTAATATTATATTAAATGTAATAAAAAAAACTTTATTTCTATACCAAGAAGTTGCAATTCATTGCTGGTACGCCAAGTGCCAAAGTCAAGGTTGCTCTCAGAAGTATCGTGACTATTATCTAAAGAAACTCTGAGAGAAATACAATTCTCCTAGAGTTTATATACTAAACACGATAATTACCGGAGCGAATCGGTTTACCTGATACTTTCCAGAATCTCCACCCAAAGATCGATTAACAATTCACTGATCAGAATGATAGGAGAAATAAACTATGTATGATATTTGTTTCAATACCTTTTCATAATATCTTCTATCATCGAAAACAAAATCATTATCATAATTATAATAAACAAAAAAAAAAGTAAAAGAGAAGAAAAAGAAGAAAGTACAAGTATACAAAATACTTCAAATAGTTATGGAAATTTCTCATACAAAAATAAAATAATTATTTTTGCATTTCTCGATGAACCATGTTACATGAGTTGCTTGTTGCTCGCATGTAATCGATTAAGGAACTTTCAACCACAAACTCAAATAATAGCTTACAATAATCGTATATTGAATATTCAAGAAAAGGAAGGGACATGGGAGAAGTAGGGATTGATTAAAGTGAAAATATCTAAAGAAATAGAAAGCTGAGGAAGAAATTCCACTACAATCGCATGCTCGTTTCTTTCATTATGGAATACCTACATATATACATATACATATAAAATGTTAAAAGAAAGAGAAAGATGTGACGAGTTTAGCAATAAAGAAGAAAAAGAAAAAGAAAGAACTTAAGGTAGCGAGCCGAGTCGACCGATCATGATAGTAATCGGCCATTTCGTTAATTTCACGGCCACGTTAGTGTTCGCCGATTGGAAATCATTGAAACTATGGACTGGAAACTATTTAAAGTAGCCACTTCGTGCATAATGAAAATAGATTTAACGATGCGATAATTGTCTTGCTACAAATATTTTACTTCCTTAATATAGATTTTTATTATTTATTATGTTTATTTACATTATTTATTAGCATCCGATTAGCAGGCTGCTTTATACTGGTAGCATTTGTTGACCGGGACTCTACAAAATTTAACTTATTATTTGTAATATTTGTTCTGTTACGAATGAATAAAAAACAATTTTGTTTTCTTAGCTTTCTGAATATTGTTATTAATAATTATTAATAATTTGCAGAAAAAATAACGTCGTTAATTTTTATTTTATTTTCTACGTACAAATACTCCCCGTATTACCGAAGAATTCGAGTTCAAATTAATAATCAAATTTTATATGTGTCCGATTAATAAACATCGTGTATACAAAATTCCACATAAATAGAAGAACACATTCATATACATTTTTATTATTATTATTATTATTAATATTATTATATTGCATAATTTAATATGATTTAATAAGACTAAAATCGATTATGAATTAATACGAAATCATTTATCTTCAAAGTAAATGATACAAATAGCAAACAATGTTATTATATGTGTAAATTATAATAAATCGTAATATTCAAATTTAAATTTGATATAATAAACTGCACGCGCAATTGAATAGATCGATAAGGAAGGATACGATATATCGTAACCTCAGTCGATTATTAACCGTGTCGATATTTTCACTCACCAGTCATATCTAATCGAATCTTTGTGATTCGTGTTCATTTTATTCATACAATTTCTCACACTATTCTTTGAATAGGTTTGTGAGTTTGTCAAGCGACAGTGAGCCACGTCAAAACAGATATTTAAAAATGGTAAATTGAATTTTTCATTTTGTCTTAAGACATCATCATATTCAAATCATTGAATAAATGATTGTTGCTGTTTTTAGGTTAATTTTTACTTTTATTTTTATTTTTATTTTTTTTTTCTTATTTTTTAAATAAAATAATTTGACGTGATATGTCTTATCAATCGTATAAATAAGATTGATCGATATAGATTGATTTCTTTATTAATTTAGGTGGAATTTGAGTCTATGACGAGATACGTCTCGCCGGTAAACCCAGCAGTTTTTTCATTACTTGCAATAGTATTGCTTGGTATTGGAATATTTTTCACGGCATGGTTCTTCGTGTACGAAGTTACCAGTACCAAATTTACTAGAGATATATTCAAAGAATTGTTGATTTCATTAGTGGCAGCTATATTCTCAGGATTTGGTGTATTATTCTTACTTCTATGCGTGGGCATATATGTATGAGTATAGGTAAGATTATTACATATTAAATAATACTACACATTAGTGTTCATAATGAAACTTTTAGAACTTCTTTCCTTTTTTCAGTTTAATCAGTGATAAAGATTAAATCGTGCAACGTTCATTGCAATGTCTAAATATATTTATAAGATTAAAAGAGCGCTAGTAAAACAAAAAATTATCTAACGAAATCCACATTATTATTGATACATTAAATTAAATAAAAACATATTTGAGTATCTTTTTTATATTATCAAGGTGTTCTTTTATTCTATATTACCTAATATGATATTTGATATAGATAATTATAATATAAATTGTGTATATAACAACTTGGGTATACTATTCTTATTTAAAGACATATTTTAAAACGATAATTGCACTAACAATGCAATGAGGAGAAATTTGTAAAAATGTATTTTGTTCGAAGGAATATTATACATATTGACAAACTCTATCATAGACTTTACAACATAATCCATTTGCTTACTACACAACTCCGATCCATCATACCAATGCACTTTTTTATCCATATGTTTGCACAATGTGAGAATTATATACTTTATTACAAATATGTTATGATAAAAGATTTTAATATATCCATTTATAATAGTTCAACCTGCCAATCCAGCTTTTTGACGACATCGTTGCATAAGCGCCCTAAGCATAAACTGTCTACGTGAAAGTTGTCGTACTTGTTTAAGGAAATTATCCAAATCTATAGTACTGGAACGCAATCCTTCAGCGAGATAATATATTGCATCTTCCGTCGCAGCCTCTTCAGCAAATGCATTTAACATTCTAAAAAAAATATATATCATTATTGCATATGATAAAAGAAAATAAGAAATTTATATATGAAAAGAATTTACTGTTTATGTAATGGTGTAATCGTCGTAACAGCCTGATCTACATCTACTGACTGATTGATTGAAAGCTTTTTTATTTCTTTTTCCAACTCTGTCTCTTTATCTTGTAGAATAATTGTATTCTTATCGAGTTCTGTATTTTCCTTATTTAATTTATCAAATAACTCGGAGAGATAAGCAGAACCGCTATTAAGTTCTTGGTGAGTACGACGCAACGTTTCAAGTTCTGCTTGCAATTGAGAAAATTGTTCTCTCAATCTACGACGTAATTTATCTTCCACAGCAGATAGTAAAGATGCTCTAATATGCTCTTCGGTGATCGTACCGGAACTTCCACCAGAACTGCCTGGCACCGTGGGTGACTTATAAAATTAAATTTTGATCATTTCTTCTTGAAATCATATTAAATGAAATAATATTAATCAAAATTCTTAAGTTCAACTACTCACTGGCTGCGTAGCAGGTGGATAAGGATAAGAACCGCTATGTCCTTGTCCTGGATAATTTAAACCACCACCACCACCTTGATACATTCTATAACCTGGATATGGAATATTTGATGTTACGGGTGGTGGATAAGGAGGGTAAATATTATTTCCAGTATTATATTGCGAATTTGGTGGATATGGTATAAATCCACCTCCTGGCATGGTAGGCCCAGCTACTGGCATGAATGCTAATTGAAAATGTAAATACAAATATAATATTTTTATTTAATAATTAATTATATTTGTATGAAAAATATTTTATTCTTACGTTGTATAGGATATGCTGCATTCATTTGCGTTTCACTACGCGAGTTTGCATATACAGGTGGGTGTTCTCCAAACGTTACAACCATTACTTGTATTAATCCATGTAAATCGGAAGTATGCTAAGTGAATAAAAATGAGAAAGAAGATACTTTTCTTTTTATACTATTAGCGTAATAATACAAATTTACTAACTGGTAAATTATCTTACTTACTGGTAACCAATCATGCAGATACGGTAAATAAATTTGGCCATTATGATCAACGTACATGCTTACTTTAATGGACATATCTGATGTTGGTTTAACATAACATATTGGTGCATTATTTGGATGCGTATCCATTAACCATATACATATTGGAATATTATAACGATTTCCTGTTAAATTAATCCCAAAATTAATTTGTCTTATTGGAATTATCTTTTATATACAAACAATTACCTTTATATGTGACAGGTATTGTCCCTTGTAAATTGAATAATTCCTTTTGAGTTCCATCCACAAATACTATATATAATAGAAGCGTATGATTTAATACAAATACTACTCATTAATAGATGTAGATAATTCTCTTTCAAATCATTATCTCTTACCAAATGGTTCTATCTCATATTGTAGACCTTTGTATGTCGATAGAACATTCAGTACCTGAGCCTTTGTTATTTCTGGATTTTGATACTAAAATATTAAACATTTAAATAATTAAATGAAATATATTTGTACTATAATAAATTGTCAAGTAGTTTAAATAAAATTAACCTTCGTTAATCCTTGTCTTATTTTTCCCTCATCCTGTGGTGTCATTTTGACCATTTAGACTTCTTTTTAGAAAAAACACTACACTCAATATAAACTAAGAAAAATTGTGATCTAACATACAATTGTTAAAAAATAATTAATATAATACGTTGTTTTTTTGTTTTTCTTAGCACCAAAATTAATATTAATACACTTATAAAGATATATTTATTAATTAAAAGAATCTGACTATGACATCAGAGAACACCTTATCTCACTCTTAAAAATTCCCAGATACATTTGACAGAAGAATGGCAACTTAAAAACTGCATACACGATCACTTTGCTTTAAAAAGTATTCTAATCATTTATTTTTTTTTTTTTATTGCAAGCTGCTACGTGAATCACTTAGTTTACTCTATTATGTCGCCATTGTCAATGACTATTACAGAGGGCGTCAGTGAAAGAGATTAAATATGAATTCTATGTAGCTTGTTATAAGTAATTCTCTGTTATATATAAAAACAAAAAGTTAGATTAGGTTCGTCCATTGTCTGTTATTTGTATTTCAAATAAGAAATAACTATCAAGAATACAAAGAAAATGGTTAAAGAACGTATCACTGGTCGTTATTTATCACAAAAAGTTGGAGAAGAAGTTATTTTACTTGGAACCATATCTCGTGTGAGATGTCTTTCATTAATATTATTCGATATATTATCTATTTTAAATGATTATAGTCTTTTCAAAACACTTTAATGTGTATTGCATAAAAGAAAAAAACAATTGGCATGCATTAAAAACAAATTATCTTTACAAATGTTACTATATAATAAACAATACTCTAATTTGTATACAACTAAGGAACTGCTGATTGGTTTATATAAAAATCAGATTGTAGTTTAAGTTATTAAAAGAAAATAATCAATTTTTATATCATAATCCGCGGTATACATTGAGAATAAAAATATAATATCATATTTTATTTGATCACTTTGCTTAAGATTTTGATTCTAACACGTTTGTTACCAGTATCACATTTCTGTGATAAACCGATATGTGATATTCCATTGGGGATTTCCAGCATCACACATTTGTGATAATTAATGCAAAAAGAAGTTCTAAACCATAGTTGGAACCACTTCTCCACAGCACAGTAGCGAATGTTTTAATGATCATTAAAGCAATGAGGTTTTTATTTACAATTAATTTTTACAGAAAAGTTCAAATGGAAAAAGTATTGAACTTTTAACGACAGATGATATAAAAGTTAACGTAACATTAAATGAACCACTCAGTGGCAATGATGAAGGTTATATAGAAGTACATGGAATTGCACAATCGAAAAGCACCATATCGTGCAACAATTATATTCTTTTCCCTTCTAATATAACACGTACATTCGGTAAATTTATTATCTTTTTTGATTAGTTTACTGAAATTATGGTATAATTTTAAAAAATTTTTATTTTTATTTATTGCAGAACCAAGTCAATACAATGATCTTTGTTCTGTGCTGCATTTACTAGGAAATAAAAAGTGGTCTACAGCTATGAATTATGGGCTTTAAATATTATCAAAGTGTACAAACGAAAAAGAAGTATGTATTAATATTCCTATCATCTTTGTGAGTTGTATAAAGAATAAAAATACATAAAAAGAGGATATTATTATTTGTGGATAAAAATAATGTGATAAGGATATATAGATTTTTTTTTATTAAAACAAAATACTTATTTTTTTAAAACTTTAACGTAAGCAGAGGTAATTAACTTGTCTATCAAATATATATATATATAATTAAATTAACATCTATATAGGTGGTGGAAAGTAATCTCTTCAGTCTAATTGTAAATAAAAATATTTAGTAGTATAGGACTGTACAATAAATATCTACACATTTATTTACATTACACTTGTTCCTATTTTACAGGATGCATCCAAAGAAAAACATCGACACGTACAAGACGTTACCGGGCATTCAGAATGTTGTCTGCAATATTTCAGTTAACTTGTAATATTAAACATTAAACATAAAAATGTTTTCTTTATTTTCTCAATTTATATAATTTCTAATTAAAAATAAATATTTTTATATTACCTAAACCAATGCGTTATATGATCGGCATGACCACCGTGTCTGCACGTTTGACACCATGTAAACCAATTATTAAATTCTGTTAGTTTATTATCATCCTCATTTCTACTTATACCAGCAGAAGTCAACTGAATTCCACTAACAGTACCCATATGCATCAAACAAATCGCGCATCGTGGTAACGGTTTTCGACAACTAGGACACGAAGACATCTAAAACAATCGAAGAGAAATATTATTTTATATGTTTATCTTAAATACGTCAGGATTTATAAATCTTACCTTTAGTTTATTAGAAGTACTTCCTAATCTACCAAACGGTCCTCTAGCTCTGCTAAGTCCTTGCATAAAAGCGGATATACTTTTACCGCAGAAATTACAAGAAACGTATATTTGCGGAGGTGGTTTTTCATTTGTTGCAGCTCTCATGGCGATATCAAAATGAGCTCGTTGATTCCACATTTTCCAAGCATTTAACAGATCCCTATAGCTATAATATCAAATTTACAAAATTAACTCTTTCTATGCTTATAATTCTAATGTTGTTGTTATTATTATTATTATTATTATTATTGTACCTGGCTATCCATACTTGAACTTGATTCTCTTGAAGTAATTTAGGTGACAATGCTCTAATAGCTATAAGACTGCAACTTTGTACATCTCCAGATATTTCTAAATACCTATTTAATAATTTAATACCTTCTAAACTTGCTCCTAAAATAATAATTAGATAACTTAAAACATAAAAATTATAATTTGTCTTATTATTCAATTTAATGACACTATACCTGTTAGAAGAAAACCTGCTAAATTCCCTTCATCGGTCAAGTTTTGCGTTAATTTTTTTATATATTCAATTAATTTATTATCCGGCAAAAACATAAGAGCGAACGCAACTCTGTCTTCTACTGCCATACCATTTTCATTCTATAAATCATAATTATACATATGAAGTGAGATAATAATTATAACATAAAAAACAGAAATAAAACAATTTACTTACAAGTACATTCTCATATGAATCATTGTCCGCTGTCAAGAAAGCAAACGTTGCTCTCAAATATGGGTCAGAAAGTTGACATCTGGACTTTAAACACGACTCTCTCCACATGCTATTCCTGTCTTCAGAAAAGCCAGATATGGCCATAGCGACGATATTTAAATTAGTAGCTATTAACATTTTTCTAGCACCACGGTTTAATATTTCTATAGCTTGTCGCAAACAAAGATTGAATACGGCTATTGTAGCAGCTCTAGGATACGCTCCTTCTCTTACTAATCTATCTAAGAATAGATTTTCATATGGTGCATTTGTATCTTTTTCAAATCTCCAACCACATAATAGTAGACCTTTATCTCTATCCGCGGATCTGTATTTACGGGAATATTTATACATAATTATATTATATGCTTTGGCTGCATCACAATATTTTCTTTTTGTTTTTTTCTGTTATCATGAACCTTTATGATAAAAAGTAGTATTTTCTACCTGCACAGATTACCTATAAATCTTAGCAGTGTGTGTGGAACCTATATCTGCCCAGGGTCGATGAGTAAGTTCTGATTTTAGTAAACCATTATTAGAGTTTTGTTGCCCGTCCAATTTCAAAAGCGTTCTATACAAAATATACATATATTAATATATTCAATTATGTTATAGCATAAATTCCTATTACCTTACACCAGGGTGCTTATTATCTGGACTTAGTACAGTTCCATCTTCTACAAGAGAACGACTTAGGTACAACCATTGCCATAAATTTTTCAAAGTATCATTTTCAGCCAATTCACCATTTTGTGCTAATTCAGGCTATAATAAATAAATAATATATTGTATATTTAAAAAGAGATTTGTCGCATATAAATCATACTTTATATGGACTTACTAATAATCCATAATCTGCTAAGGCTCTTGTTTTAGTCAGAATAGAAATGTCGTCAATAGATTTATAAATATTATCGCTACTACAAATGTACTTAAATGATTTAGATGCGTGATTCCATGCCATGTAAGATCTAGTAGACCAATTAACTGTAATTCTTTCACAGACTGTATAATCCGTAAGTCCTGTAATATAATAACTAAAATAGTATGCGTTATATTATGCATTTGCATAATACTGTGTTTCTTTTATTTTTATTGTTGTTGATATGACAAACCTTGTTGCGATATTGCTAATAAACGATAAGAATGTGTTGGATGCCATGCGAAACTAACTGGACTATGCCATGGTGGTGCTACTGTTCTTTCCAGTGCACCAAGTTCTGGATCTTCTCCTCCTCCCATTCCACAATGTTGTATATCGTACAAGTGTAATGCCACTGCAATTTAAAAAAGAAAATGTTATATTGATCTTTTCGCTTAATACATTGTTTATGTTAAATACGATAATACCTGAATCTTTCTGTAATGCTCCCAATAAGTTATGCCTTGTTGGACACCATAAGACTTTTGTAACAGGTTTGCCTTGTGATAAAGTAAGAATGGGTTTCTCAAACCATCGTGTATCCCATATAGTAATTTGATTATCAACGTGTGAAAGTAAGTAATTGTTATCATGTGGATTTACTGATACGTCATAAACTGCTTTTGTAGGAGCAGCATTTACTATTTTAGCAGAATCTGAATAAAAAATGTAATAAATAGTATTAGAGGATGCTATATACAATTAACCCCTTGCACTATGATTTAAGCATACTTTTTATGTTTGACTCATAAGATTCGCTATGAAAAGGACTTGTACTTTCGTATTTGGACCATAAAACATATCACGAGTCTCACACGTTATAGTGCAATGGGTTAATTAAATTATTCTGTTATATTTGTACCTCGAAAATCAATCATCTTTAATTGTTTGTTATTAGCACCGACAACTAAACATTTCGGTTGACTTTTAAACCAATCCAATGAATGTATTACTTCAGATACAGCTAATTCAGCAACCGGCCTATTTGGATCAGCTTGAGTATTGTTATGATAAATTCTTTCGGAATTTTTGGTTATGTCCCAGAGAAGAATAGAATGGTCAGTACGATGCTTATCTAAACCAGTAACTATTAAATTTGAATCTACTGGATTCCATGCAACAGCATTACACTGTCTCGAGTGTTTAGGAACTAAAGAGAGAGAGAGAGAAATTTATAAATAGATATTATAATTAAATATATTATATATTCATTTATAAGAAAAAAGCATTTTGATCACTTACCTAGTTCTTTACCAGCATAACCGTAAGAATCAAATATAGTCGGACCAAATGTAGTTAAGACAACTTTTCCATCATCCTGTCCTACTGCTAATAAAATATCTAATTCTGCTTGTGGATATATGTCAATACATTTAACATAATGATGATTCGTATTAGAACCTAATAAATGAGCAACAGTAGAATCCGAAAGCTTAACACCTAAACGTAACAAAAAATATGTATAACATCTATTAAATCATGTACAATATTATTTTCATGTATACATTTTTCATGACAAAGAAATTTTAGAAGAAAATTAAATGAACAAATAATATTAAATAATTATTATTACTATTTTTAGTAAATATATTTGACAATCATTATACTCACATAATTGTCTTATACCATCTTTAATATCAGCAACTTCATAAAGACATATTTCTGTTCCCCATGTAATAAATTTATTAGAATGAACCGGAGACCACAACACATCAAGTTTAACACTACTCATTTTTATTGCCAATATACATTCAATATTAAAGATTACAATTTGATCTTAAACACAATATTCTTTCATTCTAACTTGTATTGTATTGTATTGCACTTGCGCATATTCCGATGCCGAATAAATCGTGGATGTTTTCCAATTACAAACATCTCTGGTATAAGCAGACATATTTCTGTTCAACCATCTATTCTGATTGGTAATGAAATATTCACTATAATTGAAATCATCCAATCATTTGTTAATATTCTTAAAAGAATTTTGATCGACATTTTTTGTTTATAATGATCGTATTTATCATAACTATAGAAAACAATTTGAATTTTAGAGTTTCTATAATAATATATTCATGTTACTACAAGTTAATGTTAATAAAATAAATTAATAAACTTATTATACTTGTTATTAAACGATACGAATTTGTGAGCATAGGAACAACGAATACATTTAAATATGTGCATAGAAGTTTTATATTTCAAATTCAACTTTTTGCAATTCACCCCTCTGTAAATTAAATTTATTCTGAAGCAGAGAAAAAAGTATAATGGAATTGTATAACCTGGAACTTATATATATATTTATACTCAATGTGTTTCTTATTGGTAATCTCTACTAGGACTGTTTAGGAATTTACGGGAACATATCAGAAAAAATAATTTTTTGTTTTAAACCAAAAATATATTCAAGAAAAGAATATCCAAATTCATTTATATAACAAATAAGATAATAAACGACATACAATATATATTAATAATTTAATAAGATAATTATAAATAAATGAAATAAATAAATTAATTAAAAGGATAAAAACAAGGCCAATAGGAGCAATTAAAAGTAAAAATAAGAAGTTCGTGCTTATTAAAAATAAGCAAAGGCAGCAAAGTAATAAAATAAATATATAAATAGAATATGTGTACACATAAATAAATAAAATAAATATAAAATAGAATAAAGAAGGAAAATTGCTGCCTTGGCATCTAATCGTTTCTACGTATGTGGAGCTTGGGAATGAGTGTCACTGTTATTACCAAATTTCGAATCTAACGTCAAAGAAACATTTTATTTGTTTTCGGTAGTCTTAATACACAGAAATCGAAAAACAATCGGATTAGTTTAATATTTGGTTATTACAATTCGTTTGCATTAAAGAGTTTTATGCTCCCTGTTGAGCATCTTCAAATATGCGTACGTCATTAAAGCAAATACTCAAAATAATATGGATTCATTTTAGAAGACAAGAAAGTGTTGAGGATACTAGAAAGGTATTGACGCCATTAGGCTGTTTTACATATCGAGAAGTATGCGTTGCCACGATTGAATATTGGTTTGAGAGATTCAGGGTTGATTTTAATTATTTCTCATTGGAAGAGCCATTAGAGACCATTGGGCCCATTTTAAGTTTGCAATTTTTATCGGCATTAAGAACAAAATATCCAACTTGGACAATTGATCACTATATGGATGCTATACGATTACCTTTAAAAACCGTAAAGTGGTATTTAACAGTTGTCGATAAACTTGGTCCTGATTACGTATGGCCTAAATTTATATCGGATTAAACGATTATCATGATGATTTTAATCTTCAGCAAAATATAAAGAAAAAAAACATTTTTTGAAGAGATTTGTTACTGTAAGTAAAATGTCTTCTGAAAGAAATGATATCTCAACAGGAAACTATGCATTATAATAAATCACCTTGACTTTGTCACGGATCAATTGTTTGTAATTAAAAGAAAATTATTCAACATTTTTTTGTTTATTTCTTAATAAAATATCAATAAAATACTCTTCAATAAATAAAATAAAATTGTTTAAATTATTTTTTATTAATTTGTACAGATGTGTGATCGATTTTGTTATAGCTTTGTGACATATGTATATATATATACAGTGAGTTATAAAAGTGATCACTCATTCGTATTTGTCCCCACTATAAATGTTTAATAATTTATATTTATTTGTAATGCAAATTTTCAAAATATTCTATAAACAAAAACTTATTTTAGAATAATTAAACTTCGAAATTGATATCAATTTTATTGTAGAAAAATATTTTATTCTTAAAGAAATATATATATATATAATTTCACATAAATGATAAGAAAATAGGTCTCATAAGAATATTCATACCAGCACGAGATATAGAAAAATACAATTATTATTTTTGTAAGTAATATTTAACTGGCCTTTCTTTGTATTTTATAATGCTTTTAAGACAATTTGGTCATACTTTAATGAGTATGATTCGTTTCGAATACCACGTCTCTCATTATTCTTTTAGAATAACAGTCGTATGTTTGAGGAACGGACTTCATATATATAATAGCATTATCAGGTCTTTTTTTTATACTTTGCCTAAATAGCATTTTTCATTCTATAAAATGCCTAGATATTTTATAGAATGCCGGCTTTTCATAGATTGCCGGTAACATATATATATATATTTGAAATAAAATAATCAGATACAATTAAATATTAATGTAAATAATGTAAAATCATTATCTCTTACTTACTAGAAGGTATAATTTATTAAATAGATTATATACACATGTATTTTATAAAGTTTATTTTTTTTTATTTATTAATTTTCTGATAATTTATTTTTTGAGCTATATAAACAAAGCATTTTACATAAATACATATATTTACAAGTGGCCATTGAAGATTGATATGAAGATATTATTGGCACACTGATTTAGATGTTTAATAGTTATTTACCAAGAGCTCATTTCATCAATTTTAGAATCATTTAATCATTTTTAAACAATAAACTAAATTGGCAGTATGTGTTCTACATTTAAAAGAAAGTATTTCGAACTGTTGTTTTCATTTTAAAAAGAATTTCGGAGAATAGTCCTTAATCTTTTATTGTAGCAACGTTGATGACAGATTAATCAAACAAAAACCATACATCACTACATCAATGATTAGGTTTTCATGATATAATTGTTGCCTCATGTAATAATTTATTGATTTCTGTAAAAAGATTCTATTTTTTAAGAATTGCCTTTAAATCATTAAAAGTATTCATTCTACCGAAAATACATATATAAAAAGCTCAATATATAATGTAAATAAATACATTGTCAATAACGAGACTTACTATAAAAGCATGGTCGTTGGATTTTCCATGAAGCTTTTAAAGGCTGAAAGCCATTGTGCACCTACTGCACCATCCACCGTACGGTGATCACAACTAGCAGTTACAGTCATAAATTGGGCAGTGGTAAATCTAGAATTATGAAATAAAATTTTAATTAATTTTATATTCAGAGTTGAAATCAATAAAAAATATTAATAGAAAAATGAGAACATACCCTTTATCATTTTTCGCGGGTATTAGTCTTTTTTCTGTTGCACCTATTGCAAGAATAATAGACTGAGGAGGGTTTATAATGGCAGAAAAGCTTTTAATGCCAAACATTCCCAAATTCGAAACGGTTATTGTGCCTCCTTGAAATTCTTGTGGCTGCAACTTTCCTTCCCTTGCTTTAGCAGCTAACGTTTTAACATCTTTGCTAATTTGGACAACACCTTTTGTATCTGCACTAAACACTATAGGAGTAATCAAACCAGACTCTGTGCTTACTGCTACACTTACATCTACATTAGTATACCTGTGGAACAAAATAAAAAGAACATTTTATTAAAACATTCATCTTAATCTTAAAAAGAAAAAGAAAGAAATAATAAAATCAGAAATCTTACTGTCTTATAACATCACCCATCCAAGCACTGTTACCCTCGGGTACTTTTTTACAAGCCATTGCCATTCCTTTGATAATGATATCATTAACGCTTATTTTAACTTTTTCTTTTTCTAACATCTTATTGAATTGCTCTCGCATTGCTAAAGCTTCATCCATTTGTATGTCTATCGAAAGATAATAATGAGGAATACTTTGTTTACTTTCAAGTAAACGTTTCGCTATAACTGCCCGTATATTTGATACAGGGACATCAGCACCAGTTGTACCAATTGGTTGTGCAGATATTGCTGGTCTTGCAACAGCTGAGACGCCTTCAAGATCTTTAGATGTTATAGAATTGTATAGGCCTGTTCCTTTCAAGCCCTATAAAAAAAATGGTTTCTTTTTTTCTACTGCATCTTAACATCTGAGAGAAAATACTATAAAGATACTTTAACATAACTAATTACTTAACAATTTAAAATTACCTCTAAACTAAGTCCTTTTTCAGCAGCAATTCTTTTAGCTAATGGACTGACATATATCCTTTCTCCAGGTGTGATTTTTGAAGGGGTAGTATGTAGAGGTGGAGGTGGAGGTGCAGCTGCAGTTACAGGCGTAGATGGAGTAGGCGCAGCAGGTGCAGCCGGTGCTGGTGGTGCAACAGTTGGTGCTACCGTATCATCCTTAAAGTCCTTAAAAGCAGCAACGCTGTCTTCACTTTGAACAATGATGCAAACAAGTTTGCCTATGGGAACATTTTTAGTTCCTGCAGGTACAAGTATTTTAGCTAAATAACCTTCTTCCGGGGTCTCAAATCCCATTGTTGCTTTATCAGTTTCAATTTCTGCTAATAAGTCACCTTCGTTTAATTTATCACCTGTTGTTAACAGTAAAATTATATATAACATTAGTACAACATAAAAAAAATGAATGAAGTAATTTAACATATGCTTACCTTCTTTTTTTTGCCAACTAACAATAGTGCCTGTTTCCATAGTAGGAGATAGTGCAGGTAATTGTACTTTAACATGGTCAGGAAAATCTGCATAAAACCGTGATTGCTGTTGCCATGGTATCACCGTAAAACGTAAATTATCGTGGACCTGAATCCTGAATACCAAGCAAGAAAGCAGTGATATACTCTAAAAAATGTTAAGAATCATGTGACGATATAAAGTAATATAGAATATTTCAACTAATGTATCAATATGTCTGTTAACTAGTGATAAATAAAATCAATAAAATATCCACAAGTAAATACTAGTTCGTATGAGATTATACAAATTCGATAAAAGAAATGCAAAAATGTGTTAATTTAAAATAAAAATGTATGATAAAGTATTATAAATTAAAATCATGTAGGGGTTTTTGTGAATTTGAATGAATTGAAATGATGCATTCATAAAATCGATAAATTTATAATGATGAAAGGAAAATCGAACGAACGATTAGAATGAAAATGATTATTAAAATTAAAATCATTAAGACGTATTACCTTTGTAAATATTTTCTGTGAAGACATCTAATGATCACGGTCCTAACGGTGTTGGTGCGCACACCACTTCGGAATATCGTGCGTGCCAAATCATTACGTAGTCTTGCTGTGGTACGTATCATATCTCGATCGGTTAAATAATGTTTATTCGCACTACCGAATGAAAATAATGAAAGCTTCTTAAAAAATATTTGTCTAATATTATATTTACCCAAAAACCGTTCACAAGACAATTCAGAGACTAGGTGATGCGATAAAACAGGACAAAGTGACGGATATGCTGATGCCGAATTAGAGGTCGTTCGCAAGGTCACGTGGTCTCAACCATGAAATTTGTTCACATTCAATACGGGTAGTGTCGATGACTGCGATACTTTATCTTATAAAGCTTTTACAGCGCTGTTTTTCATTCAACAATTTCTTTTCTTTTTAATATGTTTGTTTATGAAATGTAAAAAATATTATTTTAATGAGAAATATTAAATAAAAAAAGAAATTTTTAATAGTTTATCTTACGAACTTTTATTCGAAGTTCAATGACTAATTTTCCTTTTATTATACTCCTCACTTCAGCATGTAAACATAGTTATTCATTTTAAATGCAAAATATTGATGATTTAATGAATATATATAAAATAGCTTTAAAAATGAAAGAAATATAATGAAATAAAAAATCTATTAAGTAGATTTATTGGACTTAATAATAATACGATAGTATATCGATACTTACCGACTATCGATAATCACATTTCTATTCATTTTGATATTACTCCAATTTCACATTTTATCTGAACTTGTATCTTTATAGGTTAGATCACAAAAAATTTAAAAATATTAAAAGATTTTTAAAGAATTATGTACATGCTATTCAATTTAAAGTGAAATTGAATCTTTAAATTATTATATACACTAGTATCAAAAGTTATTTCAATTGCTATGTCAATTTTACGAAGAGCACAGGTTTGTTTCATATAAAATTGATTACTTTTAAATTAATAATATAACACTTCTGTGTCCTTCATTCTTATTGTTATTAATTAAAGTCATAACATTTTCTTTTTAGCAATGGAGCACTTTTTCCACTACTTGGCACATATATGACGCAAAATGGCAAGATCCTTATAAAAGCGCTGTAATAATTAAGCATTATCTAATGGGTTTGCACAAGCCAATATATCATCCATTGAGTAAATTAAATATAATATTTAAACGTAATGATATTAATATTTTTAAATTTTCTCATTTACTAAATGATGATCTTTCTTACAGATTATTGCGGTGATCATGTGGTTGTAATAAATAGCAGAGATATAGCTCTAAGAGGAGACGAATGGAGAAAACGTGTTTATTTCCATCATAATACGTACATTGGTGGTGCTTCTTGGACTCTCGCATGGGAACTTCATAATATAAATCCGACTTTGGTAACTAATTAACACGTATAATCGAATAAATAATTATGTTGAAATATGAGCCATTCACAACTAAAACCGATTAACTCCACTTTTTCAATTTTTGAAAATTTTATTATCGAAGCACTTGACCAATAAGTAAATTTTTATATTTAAATTAAATTTCCTTAAAATAATTACCTTTAATCTTTTGATTTCAATTGACACCTAATGTGAAATGTTTATCCATAACAAATGAAGCACTATTGTCACGTTTTGCTTCTGAGCATTCCGTAGTCAAAGATTTAATATCATTAAATGAAAATAATTTTTGTGACCCTTGAATAATAAATGATAACATAGTTTATTATTAATTTACCAATTTTATCTACCTTGTATTTTATGGAGTTAATTGATTTGCTCATATATATTAATAATCTAATTAATTTTTATTTAATATTATTCTTATGTAGATAGTGTCCAAGGCGGTGTATCGTGCAATGACAGGAAATTTACAAAGACGATACACAATGCAAAGATTGCATATTTTCCCAGATGAAAATGTTCCAGAAAAAATACTTCAAAATGTTTCTAATCAAATCAAACAATTAAGACCAGTTCCAATTAGATTAGATCATATTCCCAAAGAAGAAGTTGAACAATTCCCCAAATTGTTATCTTATCCCCAAAATTTCGTGCTGAAGTGATTTATTAATTGTAAATAAAATAATTATTACAATATAAGATATTATTGTATGAATATTTAAATATAAATAGTAAAAATCAGTATATATGTTCTTGTATATTTAATTGATAATATAATTAATTTGCTCCATGTACAGGATTTTCCAAAAGTCGCCTTACTAAACTAAAAAATTAAAAATTAAACTCTGTAATTATAAAATCATAATTTGAAATAAAAAAATGAAATATTTGAATTCTATTAATAAACCATTAATTTTAAGGTTCTTATTTTTCTGTAAAACGATTTTTGGAACATCCTATATAGTACGAATTTTACATGAAATAAAATTTAATTCGATATTTCCAATAAGTACACATTTCTAAACTAGATGGAGCCACGATGCAAATGATAATAGAGGGCAGTGTACGTGAGATATCCAATCCCACAACACTGAATAAGTGATCAGTACCAAAGCCTACAAGTATTCTATCTTTGTCAATCCAATTTCTTGCAATTGTCAGATTGCTGTCATTTTACTATTATAAGTGCAATTTAACACAATAAGTTATATATATATATATATCATTTTTAAAAGTAAAGAATTATTTCTAATTAACAAACTTCATATAAATTATCATAATGGCGGATGCTAAATATTCTGATTTACCTGGAATTGTATGTATCCCTATAAATTTAATACTTTTTCAAAGAGTATTTCTGTAAACGTCACTAACATATATAGTTTAATTATATTTAATGTTTTTTATATTAGTATACTTTCATTTTCTTGTATTAATCTAAAATATGTGGCGTGTAAGAGATAATAATTTATATAATATTGTAGGCATATGATCAAGTTGATGTTTATGAAACAACCGACTTACCAGAGTCAGAACAATTTGAAATTTACTCTGAGGTAAAATAATTTTATTCTCTATAAAAATTAATGATTTTAATATATTTTCCTATCATTAAAATAAATTTTTTTTATGTATCCAGGATGAATCAGATTCGATTGAAAAGTTGCATATAAATGCTAGAGAAGCTTTTAGTAAATTTAAAACCAAAACTGTTGGAGACACCAAAGTTGACTTTTCAGATTCTATTTCACGCAAATCAAGAACCGGTTACAAGTTGGTATTAATGAAATATTTTTGTATTTAGAGTATCGTATGAAGGCATTATATAATTAAATATTAAATTTTCTATTTTGATTGAATTTAGGTTTAGAGATTACGAGCTTTTGGGCGAAGACGAAAAAGAAACTCCAATTCAGAAATATCAACGCTTGCAATGCGAAGTGAGAGAATTATACGAAGAAATAAATGCACTGAAGGTAGCACAATGCTACGAATATTTTTTTGTTTTTTGCATTCAATAGTTTCATAACATGAGAGTGTATTTATTTCATTGTTTAGGAAAATGCGAAAGAAGAAAACGAGGAAGTTAAATCTGCGATAGATATAATTTCTCAAGTGGAACAATTAGGAAAAGAAATAAATGATCTAAAATTAGAGGAATCTCTTGGTTCCGGACTTATGGAGTTATTTTCAGATCCTCAAGGAGCTAGATTGAAGTATATTTTACTTTATATTCTTAATACATTTGTGACCAGTAAGCTGAATACTACATAAAATAAATTGAAATATAAAACGTATCACTAAATGAAGAAATAATATTATATATGCAATTTTTACTAATTTTAATAAGAAAATATAATTAAAATAAATATTTAACGATGAAACGCGAAATTGAAGAAACACAAATTAACAATTAAAATTTAATATTTTATAGTATAAGATTATATTACTAGCATTTAATTACTAATTTTAAAATGACGTAGAATTATGAAGAATTTGAAAAATTTGAACAAAGAACTACATTGCCAGTCTCGAATGCGTTAATAAGAGATTAGTGTGCACTTTTCATATAATTGATTATTTTTTAGGCAACTGATATCACAGATAGAAGTATTCAGAAATACTGGCATTTCTAAATCAGAAACGGAAGGAAAATCAGAAATAACTGAAACCAAAGAAACACCTCCTTCCGGAGTCTTGGAATACAAAATGATGTATCTACCAGAAAAAGCTAAAATGCAAGAGATTGCGAGAATTGTGCAATTGGAACAAAGATTATGTTGTCTTGAAAATATCATTGGTACATCTAACGAAAATTTTTCCGTTTTCTCTCGGGTAATAGATTTTAATATAACATACCACTGCATTTTTTGATTAATTGTAAAAATCATAATTTTGGAACAAACATCTTTTATTTTGTAGAATTTAAAATGCCAAGGAATTATGGATGCAGTACAACAACTAAGCGCAAAAGCTGCACTTTTAGATACGACTCAATTGGATGCTATTGAAAGTAGATTATCTGCTTTAATTTACAGGATTGATACCATCGCTCAAAAGAAATTTGTTTCAATTCCTGATTCAGAGTTAAAACAAAAGGTTTTTCTTTCTTTTTATAAATTATTACCTAATTATAATAAGAGAAAAAATAGATAGAATTAAATAATTACTTATTTTTTTGTTATATATAACAGATCGAAGAAATGTATAAAATAGTAAAAAAGACGGAAAGTATGTCAGATATTTTACCTCTAACTATTAATCGAATGACATCTTTGAGCACTATACACGAAGAAGGTGAGTTCTAATTTTTTTTATATAGAATTGAATATAAATACATATTTATTCAATTAGTATCAAATGGAAGGTAATATATGTTACTATGTATTGTTATTGTTATGATTATATTCCTTGTTAATAGCTGCAAACTACAGTAAGGCAATGAAACAATTCGAAGAGCTGCAGAAACAAAATACTCAATTTATGGATAGTAATAAATGTTTACTCGCTGGTGTACAAGAAAGCTTTGCATCTAATTTAGAAGTTATTAAAAATAATATAACGTCACTTTCCGAACGTGTTGCAAAACTTGATAAGTAATCGATAGCAGCTAATTAATCATTTTATTGAAATTATATAAATATATATAATAACATTTTTATATTTATTTATTAAAACCCAATAAGATAGTAAAAATTGTCAATATTATGTATTAATGTAAAATAAATTATATTCCTTAAATTAATCGTTCAAGTTATGTTAACTATGAAAAATAATTTTCTTTCTAGTATTTCGATAAATATTTTAATGAGGAATATTAAAGATAAAAATTAAACACATCATATGTTTTCAGTGTAATTATATATTTATTTGAAAAAATTAGAATCTTAATTTTTGGAAGAACCACTTATTTTTACCAGACTTGTACCTGTAAACAAAAATTCATGAATTATTAGCTGTATTAAAATGTTATTAGAGTGTTTTTTTAATCATATGAAGTTCAACATTATGAACAATATTTTAATATTAAAATAATTACATAGTTTTTATTAAATGTCTTATACTAAAATTAATGAATATAAATTTAGGTACCTTTCTTCAAATTTAACACGAATTTGAAATCGTGCCTTTTTTCGTTTCATCGGGTCTTTAAGATCTTTTGGAGCTACTTTTTCTAATTGTAGTTCAGGTACCGTATACCTTGTTGGCATTAAATGATTGTAATTTAAAACCTATAACAATAATAATAATAATAATAATATAATTAAGAAATATAGAGGGATAAATAAAACATTAAACATTTTATATTCAACTTACTTTAACAAAAGGCTTTATCTTGGAACGCTTATGTAATTTTCCTTTACCCATTCGTTTATGTACTTTTCGTGGGTATCTATCAATACCAGCAACCATAGCATGACCATATTGTTTATCCGTAGTACCATCATCAAAGGTACGCATAACAATAGCTTTTCTTCCTGCGTACCGGCCACTAAGGACCAGCACGACTTTACCACTTTTCATAATCTTCACCATATTAAATGATGGTCTGCAACAAAAATATTCTTATTAATATAATTCATTACTTATAAGATACATCACAAAAATGTTTCACATTTAATTTTGAGGTTATATTTTAATTAATATTATCATTTCTAAGCTCATAAAACATGATATTTTATTCAACATTTTAATATTAAACATTGTTAAATTCATAAAAATAAAAACCTTTATTTTTGATAATATAACAATTTAAAGAAAAATTTAAGTGACATACGTAAGAGCAATGCTTTTACAATAAAACCTGCCGATACCTTACAGAGACTGAAATAATAACAAATAAATATATCAAATTGAAGGAAAATGTTTCATTATTAAAAATGAAATCATCAATGTTATCATATTAATTTAGAAATAAATGATGTTTTTGGATTATATATAAGAATAATTACTAACAAACCTTACTTTTCCAATCCTAGAAATGGAAAATAGAAACCGCCTCAGTTAAAGCCAAGGCCAAAGAGACATGTAGATGCGTGACTCAAATTTTTAAACGTTCGGTTTGCTTCTTTGTTATCTAGGTATGTTCTGATTGGCTATGTGCTCGCTCTTCACATTGCACAGACGATCGTCCAATAAGAACGAAGAATAAATACCTTGAGAAGTGAGGTTACATTTATGTTATTAGTATAATATATTTTGCTGAGAATTTTACTCGACTAATGTCCACGTGTATCGATGTGTACAATACGAAGCTCTATACAAGGAGGACGATCGAGATAGGCGTTCTCGTCGAATTTGTGACATTGAAAATGAGTAAACATCGGGTATGATAATTCTCCACAAGGGCGGCGGTGGTGTTCAAGGGTTCAGATTTTAATACGTGTTTGTGTGTGGTACAACTATATATTTTTGAAAAATCAGACCATGCGAATCGACGCGCTCTCTAGTGGCATTAGAAATCATCCTCTCATTGTGAATATTGTAGCCACATTTATAACACTGCGATTGTCCTCCTTGTATATAGATTCCGTCTGTACAATTATACATTGCAGAAGTGGTTATAATATAACCTAAATTTGATTGTTCTTACAGCTGTGTAATTTACAATTATTTTTAAATAATTGCATTTAAAAGAAAGCGAGCAACTAAGAAAACTCTAAAGTATATACTTAAATTATGATATTAATGATTTTAAAAACATATAAAAATAATATTTTATCTTTTGATTATAAGTTGTATCATAAGTGCATCACTGACATACACTTGCATTTCGAAATTTGTGAGAGTGTACAGGTAAAATATTAACTAGTAATGAATGTGTAATTAATAATAATAAATTAAAAGTTGAATATATTTAAATATTAATTAAATTGTTAGTATTCGTTTGTAGTATTTTGTATTTATATATAATTTATTTTATAGTATTTTTAGTATTTATATCTCTTTTTAAATAGTTTAATTCTGGAGTGAATTTTTAATTCCCTCAGTTTAAGTACCCTAAATGAGTACCGTGGAGAATTCACTTCATGATCAAGATCCTGATTATACTATTCCAATATCAACGAATAAAAATCCAGAAGAAGTTTGCGAAGAAAATGGTAAGAGTTAAATTTAAACAAAAATTCTTATACTATCAATGAATGTACCAAAATTTTGTTTTTTTCGATTAGCTCGTACAACAGCAAGAAAAATAACTGAGATTATTGAGAAAGAATTTTCACAAGAAATAGATACCAAGCAAAATGAAGTCTTACAAATTCAAGAAAGATTACACAAAGCATTGAAGACTTTACATTTATTACGATACGTTATCATTACTGATTTTTATAATCGTAAACAATGTCAAGCTTCTCAGACTCGAGAAACGCAACAAACCCGTATCCACCCAGCGATTAAACAATTGATTGGAAAAAGTCCTAAACGGTCGCATAATGATTTTGCTGTTCCATCTACATCCACAGATCCAAGATTTTTAAATGGATATTCGTATCCTTCTCCTAAAAGAGCCACAACAACTGAGCATAATGTTATAAAGACTGAAAATACTACAGAATCCTCTAAGGAATGTAATACAAGTATGCAGTTTAAAAGCCAAAGCATTCAAGATAATACTCCGTCACAAAAAAAAATTCCCCGTTATATACCACCAAAAAGTGGATTACCAGAACCGGCGAGTCCTTCTCGAGGTGTTAGACATAAAGTTAGAAAACGCATAGTGATTGGCAATATCTCCAAATGGATTCCACAAGATTGGAGAGAAGATCCTGCAAGTCATAAATGGACGATGTATGTACAAGGTAGTAAAGAGTTTCCTAATATTGAAGATTTTGTAAGTAAAGTTAGATTTTTTTTACATCCAAGTTACAAACCGAATGATGTTGTTGAAGTATCGACTGTTCCATTTAATCTCTCAAGAAGAGGTTGGGGTGAATTTCCGCTACGGGTACAATTACATTTTAAAAATCCAATTAACAAACCAATGGATATTATTCATAATCTCAAATTAGATCGTACATTTACTGGTCTTCAAACGTTAGGTTCCGAAACTGTAGTTGATGTATGGATTTATACGATGGATCCAAACATTTTTATACAAACTGAAAGAGAAATTTGTGATAGTTCTAAAGAAGAAATAAATTCTTCTAATGTCAATGAAGAGCACAAATTTGATTCAATGATCATTAAAACACCACAAAAGTCAAGTACTTCGATTGATTCTAATACAATTACTGTGAAATCTGAAACAAATAATTTAGAAGTTCCTAATATAGATAAGTTATATGATATGAAATCACAAATACAATTAGATGTCATTAAATCAGAGCCTATCGATGAGGTTCCACAAGCAATGTCATTTATGACAAATGATAATACACTTACATCTAAATGTAACAATAACACAAAAAAATTAGAAAATATGAGATTTTCTGTTACTCACGATCATGATTATTTAAATAATTCTATTTCTAACGAAACTAACTTATTTGTAGAAAATAATATAACTATAAAACATTCACCCGATAATAGTCCAATTAAGAAATCCATTAATTCGACAGTAGAACAATCTGGCAATAATACAAATTTGATAAAGCAATTTTCTAATAATCAGCATTGCACATTTAATGCAAATACAGAAAAATTAGTTGAGACGAATAAAAATACTTTATGTCAGATGAACTTTAAATCTAATTTACGTCCATTACAAATTTCAATACCTCCTTCGTTTGAGACAACTGCAGGGAAGCATATGTTAATTTTACAAAATAATAAACGTACTTCAACAGAGGCAAATAATGCATGCCCTTCTAAAGTAGATACTGCCAAAAGTGCTAAAAATTATAATAAAATTAATACAAACAATTGCTTAAGTTATGGTAATTCGAAGACGAGTATACTTATTCCTAGAGGTACTAGTCTGTTAAAAAAACAAGTCAAACAAACGGGAAAAACAACTACGAATAATAAAAATGATAATAAATATGCAATTTTGGAGATTAAACCATCGAACAGTCTCTTGTTAAATTTAAATTCCAATGTACCAGCATTGAAAATAGCAGATAACGCTTCTTACAATACAGTAAATTTGTATAATAAAAACTCTTCACATTTAGAAACATCATCGTTACAGAAAGATCAAACATTTACAAAACCAATTAATCATAATGGTAAAATAGGAAAATCGAGAATCATTTTGGGTAAAGATAAATGGAGACTTCACAGTAAAGAAGATTTATACAAAAAAGATCTTAAAACAATAGAAACTGCAAAAATTACAGATGTAGAAGGTTTATTACGATTTATCATACGTAGGATACCTATTGTTACTCCACATGCATCTGATCCAGATTACAAACGATTACATCCTTATGCTTGTACCACGGAGAAAGAATATTTTAATCATAACGTAGGTAAACGTGCAGCTTATGAATGGTGGCGAGCAAAAACAGTAAGATCATTTTTACGTAAAAAGCTTACTACGGAAGATAAATTATGGTCAGTGAAAGAGATAATACTTTGGGCAAGGTTGTATGGATACACACCAACGCGTTCTTGTTTTGGCATAGACGCAACAACAACAACGAGTGGAGCAAAAAGATTACCATGTACAGAGATTTCTGCAACAACATCAACGTGTACGGAACCAATAGCATTTCAAAAGTGGCTTCAAACGTCTTATGATGCATCAAAGAATTTAACAACAGATAACGATGATTCTCAAGAAGAAGAAGTTGACATTCTAACTTGTCAGAATCCTGAAAATAATAAAACAACGCAACAAAATAAAATTAAATTTGGCTGTAGTAACGAAGTAGCAAAATCTAATACTATATCCCTCAATTTAGAAGAAGAATTATTACCGTTGCATAATTTTGTTTGTGAGACAACTAGAAATATTGGCATTACATTAAAACCAGAAGAAATTTTTCCTAATGTGCTCCATTGCAGCGCGAGTCGTGTTATGATACGAGTGAGTAAGATTAATTGCTATGTTATAATTATAATATATAACAAAGTATATATATAACATATAATAAAGTTATAGTTTCAATTTTAAATATATAATATAAAATAAATATCCATTATATATATATATATCTTTAGGCCATGGAATGTTTTGTGGAGGATCTTGTCAGAACGTCTTTAGTGAAAGCTTGGGAAAAGAGTAATGGCAAAGAGTAAGAATATTTTATAATTATTACTGTTATCTAACTTATTATAATAATTAACTACAATAAAATCAGTGATATCTAATCATAATAAATTAATTTTATATATAGGTGTCCACAAACTTTGTCGTTGGATGACGTGCGTTCTGCTTTGATGAGTCGAGAGGAGTTTGATATTTTTACAAATGAGGGTTTGGGTTCACGGTATTCACTTAATACAGAGGATTAGTTATTATTGCTATCTGTTTTAGATATACACTTTTTTGCAGAAAAAGGTGTAAAAAGAAAGAATAAGAATGTTTATATTTTGAACACGACCAACAATAACACAGATGGATATTAAGTAATATTTACAGTATTACGAGTACTAATACTTGTATTGTGTTACAAGAGTACAGAGATTTTTTTTTAAAAAAAAAAAGGGAAAAAATATGTATATCTATTAGAAATAATTTAATATTTAAGCATTTTGAAATGATGCATCACTGTATCACTTCTTTGTCACGTACAGATAAAATAATTGTATTGATTAATAATTGTAAACATTCACACAGGACTTCCACAGTTAAATTATCAATTTGTAAATTGTCGAATTTTTATATGACAGACTTGTAGGAAAGATTACGAAATTTGAACATTCTAGCATTTAATTTTGTTATTTTCATTTTTTTACATGAATTTTTTACTCAAATGATAAATAGAACAGAGTTATGTAAATATTATCTATAACTACACATTTCTATACATATATATACGTATATATATATTATATTTTATTATTTGATTATTTTATTATTTTAATATAATTTTTTATCATGATTATATATATATTATATTTTGTCATTCTATTTTATTTTATTTTGTTTTTTTTTCTACTGAACAACGATTAAGTAGTCAGTGAAAGCTTGTTACTAGAAACAACAGTTTTAAAACGGGATGAATCATGCGACTGAACTTGCATTCAAATAAGTCTGCTTTTATCGTCATTGTCGAGAGTCTAAGGGAATAAAATTTGAAATGAAGAAAAATGACATTCTTTTTTATTTCGATTCATAATAATAATCTTTTAAATCATTCCGAAAATTTTCATGAAGTATTTTATTTTAATATTCCGTTTTTAATTCATTCTTCCATATTACTATTATTATTATTATAAAAATGTATATAATCGCTGACAAGAGAATACTCGCACGTTAATATCTGGTTTATTATTTTTTTCTTCTTTTTTTACGTATATCATATCCATGTATGATTTAAATTATTTTTACATTAAAATATCTAAGAAAATATTGAATAGGTGATAAATTAGACATCATTTATAATCAAGATAATTGAAGAGTAATTATAAAGTAAGATCGTATTAATAATACTCTTATGTGAGAAGTATAGATCATTCTATCTTCCCACGTCCTTGATTATATTGGTATCGCTTAATTTAATTTTTCTTATCAATTCAATAAAATTACTTTTACATTATAAACAATAGCAAAAATTCGCATTATTTTGTTTATCGTTAGAACTTTGCCAATCGAATCTTCTTCGAAAGTATATTATTTACATTTGTCGTGTAAAGTTGAGAGTGAGATAAAAAGACAACAAAATCATAACGCGTTTTAAAATACAATAATATTTTTTTAATTCGATTTCGATCAATCAACATATTCGAATATATAAATAAAAATATTATAAGTTCCGGTAATATAGAAAATGATTAAAATTTTTATTTGAATCAATTCGATTTTCAATAATCGATTGTTTAAACTGTTAGGGATGAGAAATCGATTGATCATGGCCACGTGACCAGATAAACAGGGGGAATAAATGCATTCAATGTATTAATATTTATTAATTCTAAGAATAAAGAAACGTTGCCATCGTAGAAACCTAAAATACAAGTAATAAACTTACGAAACATAATCTGTGGAAATGAAGGATCTGCGCTTATGTATGAGATCGGAATCGGAAACGGAATCCGAGGTTACGCGTCCGAGATTCCGCGGGATATATAGGGTGAAGACGAACGATCTATGACGTCAGAGATAAACGCGAAGAAACGTGAAATGGTCTCGTCGTATTCTGGATCTCTCCAAGTTCTTTTCTTTTTTTTTTCGAAAGAACACCTTTTTTTCTTTTTTCTTTTTTGTTTTTATACGGGGAGATAAGAAAAAAATTTTTCATCTTTTCAACATTACCCTAAAAATAAATAAACACGTTAGCTCGTATATACGCCATTTTTTTTTTTATACGAAAGATACATTCGGAGATAAATAAAGAAGCAAATAAATAACGATAAAAGTAGGCAACGTTTTTGTTTTCATCCATTCACGACATATATATATATATATATATATATATAAATTTATATATACATGTGTATACATACACTCAATTTCTAACTCAATACTAACAAACATTTGTAGTAGGTGATCCTCTGAAATAAGAAAGATAGTGAAGAGGGAGAAAAATACTATTCATCCCTTGGGTATATATTTCTTTCCTTGGTAAGAATGAAGGAAGAAAAATGAATGTAAAGTATAATATGTGAATGTATAGAGGAACGAGGGGAGTCTGAGTTCTCGCGGGCTTCACAATCTTCTTGTGGCAAGGTTTGTAAAGAGAGTAGGGTGAGGGAGAAAGTCGATTGGTCCTAGTTGGAATTGGCGCGTGCGAGGAAAGTGAGAAGGAGAGGGAAAAAGAGAGAAAAGAAAAGATGGAAAAGAGTGAGAGAGGTATATATGGGGGGGTGTGGTGGGCGGGAGGGGGTCGAAGAAAGGCCAAGCGTGGTGCACAGTGGTATACACACATATATCGAATGAAGGAGAGAGGAAAAATCAGTGTAGAGCATCCCCTCCACTAGGATATTTCGCGTTCGTCGTGCACCACACTGAGATTACAGTCAGTGAATGTACAACATCGTGGGTGGGTGGATGTATATACGCGCGGTGTGAGTGATAGACTCTTGGTGGTGATATGGTGGTGGTGGTGGTGGTGGTCGGTGGTGGTAGTAGTGGTGGTGGTTGTTGGTCGTATATATTATGTATATAGTATATCGTATGCCATCGTCGTCTCTTAGGAAATAGTTCATGTTTTCTTTTTCTTTCTCATTCGTGATCGAGAAAGAAGAGGGACGAATAATCCGTTCGACGGTGGATTCGTACGTTCCGGTTAGATTCGGTCAATTCGTTCTGTCGTGTGCGAGGACAGAAGACATTTCTTTCGGGAGGAGGTTGCTATTGCTGTTGCTGTTACTGTTGCTACTTTGGTTATATTTCGAGCGGAGAAACGCGAAGAGAAATATTAATTCGTGCGTGCTCGGAATTCGTTTCCCTTGGCCCGCAGGCGGTTAGCCTACGTGTGAGAGAGTTTCTGACGATATCGAGGATAAAAAAGATAAAAAAGGAAAAGAAAGAAAGAAGAAACAGAGAAAAGAAGAAAAGATAAGAATTGTTTAGGATTAAAATTGATTTCTAGTGTTCTCGATAAAAATGCATTTACATTTTTCATACGGAACGACAATCGTCCTTGCGATGATGTTGTCCTGTCGTATCACTTACGCTCAGGACGAAATCATCCTTCGAAGTCTAACTACTATGGAGACTTGTAACGTCACCTCGGATGGGCGAGGATTCATATGTCGTGGACCAAATTTTGTATCAACTTTAAAGAGCCGGTCCTTTGAAAGCATCGTTCTACGATCACCGGCTAATATTACTAAACTGCAAGTATTCCAAATAGAGAGATTCATCTTTTTTCTTTTAAATCTATCCGATTGGAAGAGGAAAGTCCCGCGTTAACTGTCACATCCTGTCCTGTCATTTTTATTATGGTAGTTGAAGTAGTAGTGTAGTGTAGTAGTCGCCCTTCGAAGCGCGCCTTCTCGAAGTATGCTCGAATTTTTTTTCTCTCTCTCTCTCTTGTTTTCCTTTTTCTTTTTATTTTCTGGCTTCTTTCTCGAACGACGCGAATACACGACGCCGAGAGGAATGCAATCTCTCACATAATTTCATTTTTCAAGTTCTATGTCCTGCAGTTCTAGGCGTGTCTAGTTAATCTATATCTTCTTTTGATCCGAACTAGTTTATTATTTCTTTTCTTTTTTTTTTTCTATTTCCTTTGATATCACGTTTAAATAATTATCGATAATCGACTATTTTCTAACCTTCGACAAATACCGAATCGTTTGAAAAACCAATCGTTGGTTAAACCACGTTCGAGAATGATTTCAAATTTTGCGCGCTTCTGTATTAACTCGCGAAGTAAATAAAACGACATTAATGTAATCAAATGAACTTTCTTTATATAGTATTTTTCGTTTTTAAATCGTATTATACATTTTTTTCTTCAAGAAAATACTTATTTTCTTTACTTTCATTTTTATATTTTCATTTCATATTCACTTTCATTCATTAATTATTCTTCGTTTTGTAATGTAACAAACGCGTTGCGTTGTAAAATCATTTGAGAATTTTTGCTCTCAAATTATTATTCGTAATGTTTTGGACGAATGTTTCTTTTTATTTTTATTTTCTTTTACGATCGAGCTATTAAAAGTCTCTCCGAAAGATATCTACAATATATGACTGTCGAAACTTCAATTTCTACAAGTCAGTACTCACAGGAGTGTCGAAATTGTTATTCTTTTAAGTTGCTCGCGGTGTACGAATTATGGAACTGAACGAAAGTATGCTTGGAATGAAAGAACGTTCCTGCCTGTAAACGTCTATACGATTCTGACGATGAATGATGAAGAGAGAACGAAAAAAAGGATCGGTTTATTCCAAATTCACATTCTCCAATAATGAAATTAGTATATCAACGCAATGTTCCAATTCTCCATCCATGTTATCGAAAATCTCTATTTCAACACGTAATCCTAATTAGGTCAAGTTATGCAGAAAGATACCAATCACTCTAGAATATGAAAATGAATAAATTTTGTTAATTAATTTTAGTTAATTTACAAATGTGAAAAATAAATTCTTTTATTTCTCTATATTACGTATTTGGTTATATTATATTTTTTGTTGTTATTTAAAAACATACAAGAGTTTTCCTATAGTTTGTTAAATTTTTTGTGAAATAAAGATCACAAAATTATGGAATTGGTTGAACTAGTTTTTTGCCATTTTTAGGATTGGTAGATGTCTGTTATGCTTGGCACAATTTTATATCAGATTACGCGAATAAGACGTTGTTTTTCTAGGATCTAACATCAATAAATATACTGACTTATCGATTACTATAAAAGTTGTCGAATATAAGTTTGTACGTTCTTATGTATCACTTCTAACGTTTCTCTCTTTTTAGAAAATAAAAAATATTTGATTACTTAAAAGAGAGAGAATACGGGAAAATATCGATTTGTTTTTGCTTAAGTTAGAGAAAACGAGCCGAAGAAAATGATTCATGCGAGACCGATGTCGGTCGATCGGTGAGAAATATTTCAGCGCGAGGTCACGGCCGTACTTGACGAATGTGTCGTGACGCTTCAACGTAACCAACCTATACCTACTCACGTTTCTTTCATTCTCCGCACGCTAATTAATTTCAATGATGCTACAATCTTAATGATTCCTTTCTCTTTTCTCTTTTCTTGAAATAATTGTCTTTTTAAGTTTGACGAGAAAGAAGCAAAGAAAGAAACAAAGAAAGAAAGAAAGAAAGAGAGGAGATAAATTCAAGATTTTACTTGACTTGCGTAGCACGTAGACAAAAATTCATTAATATACGGTTTGAATTTTATATATTTTATAAAATACTATCTTTTTTAGTTTGACGAAAAAGAGAAAGAAAAAGAGAGAGAAAATAAATTTAAGACTGTACTTGATTTGCGTAATACATAGACAAAAATTCAAATTAATATACGGCTTTAATTTTGTTTATTTTCAAAAATATTTAAATATATATATTAACAAATAATATGATATATGTATCTAAAGAATCCTATTTATATATAAATATATATAAAGTTATATATTACGCAGAGTTTACGTTATTATGTTATTTTTGTTCCTCTTCTTTTTTTTTTTTAAAGTTATCTCTTAAGCACAGGCGACAATTCTGCGAGCATTCTGCAGATTTAGATTCCAGCGATATTACGGGCTCTAACAGGAAGGTTGTTCGGCTTAGAATTATTTATATCGTTCCGATATTCGTATAACTTTTAGATCGTAGAACTATAGATACGTTTTATATGCTTGATTAGATTATATAAATATTTGAGGATAATAGTATTTTTATATGTCTCCAGGGAAAATTTTATCTCATGCGTAAATTTCAAATCAGTTAATATCAAACAGGAATGATATTATACGTATACCTAAATATAATTATTAATATAACAATATATATTAAATATTTATAAAAATATATATTGTCAATTTATTTCAGTGACTTGACGAACAACAACATAACGCGTGTATCGGCGAATGTTTTTCATCAACTTTCTAATCTCGAATTTTTGTGAGTATATGCACACACATATACTCTTAATTAATAATATTTTCATTTATAATATTTGATCCATTTACTTATAAAATTTCATCATTACGAACTAATAATTACCCGTAAAATTTTTCAAGATTGTTACGACGTAATCACCTATATACAATCCACGAAGATGCATTTGAAAATTTAACGAATCTTCGAGTATTGTAAGTATTTCAATTGTATCGATACCACATGCTTTGATTTCTTTTCTTTTTTTTTTTTTAATTATAATACAATCGAATAATAATATTTTTTTTCAGGGAACTTGATGATAATTATTTAACAGAAATTCCTATCGCCCTTATGAAACTCGATGCGCTCGAAGATTTGTAAGTTCCTTTTGGAAAACTCGCGTACGCTCTGAATATAATCGTGTCGTACTACTTACATAATCAAAAATAGTTTTTATCCTAATTTCTCAGATCCATTTCCAACAACAAGGTACAAATACTCGACGGTTATATATTTCAAAGTATGGATAATTTGATATCCCTCGATTTACGTGGAAATCCAATTAAACAGATAAACGATAACACTTTTCAAAATCTTCATAAACTTCGTAAGTTGTAAGTACACGTATTTTTTCGCGAAATGAAAATTATTTAATTTTACTTGGTCATATAAATATATGTATATTTATAAGAAAGATTAATCAAATGATTTTCAATAAAATACATTTTACATTAATTTACATTATTGAAATATAATGAAACAAAAAATGTATTACAGGATATTGTCAGACATAAAAGAAATGAAAATTTTTCCTAATCTCAACGGAACGAGTTCTTTAGAGGTTTTGAAATTAGACCGGGCACGGCTTAAAGCGATCCCACCTGATCTTTGCATTCAATGTCCAAAATTGAAAAGTTTGTAAGTTTTATCTACAACGCAGCATTCATATAATTAATAATGTTCAATTATTTCTTAAGGAAAATATTTTCAATTCCTTTTCGTATAAATCATCTGTGCTTGTATCGAAAATGAAATTGATTACTCTTACTAGACGGCTTGCGAAATGTAGGTCTCTCTGTTCATCTTATTGCACAATGCATAAGAAGAAACTAGAGCCACATGCACATGTAATGTATTTTCATTTCAGCGATGTGAAATCGAATTATTTGACAAAAATCCCAAATTTAAGACATTGCCATGACCTTCGCGTCTTGTAAGTATGTGAGTTATATTGCGTTTCAAATTATTATATTAGATAATGTATTTATTATTCATGTCCTAACTCATATTTTATATAATTTGTCTTTTAATCTTGTTTTAGAGATTTGGCAAACAATGCGATCTCCTCGTTATCCAATGCACCCTTTAAAACTTTGAACATGTTACATGATCTTCTATTAGCAAATAATAATTTAAAAACAATTTCAAAAGATGCATTTTCTGGATTATCGAAACTTCAAGTTTTGTAAGTTGTGTTCTCTTTGATGGTTTCAATATATTTTTAATTCATGAATATAAAATATAAATGTCGACAAATACTGTTGACACATTTCATGTATAGTTATCTTTTAGGGATTTGGAAAGTAATTACATAGATTACATCGATCCAGGTGCGTTTACAGAGACAGAAAATTTGGAGGATTTGTAAGTATGCCAATAAATTTAAATACAATTTTGAAAACGTTTCTAACATTATAGAGATTTTCTTCAATTATTTTTTAGAAATCTTGGAAACAATGTGTTCCCAACTTTACCGGTTAACGGATTAGCAGGGTTGTTACATCTGAAAACTTTTAACAATCCAGCTCTAAGACAATTCCCATCACCCGATAAATTTCCACGAGTGCAAACAATGGTGCTTTCTTACGCTTATCATTGCTGTTCGTTTCTATCGATCGAAATAGAAGACACCGTAACTCAGTCATCAGTACGAGAATCTATTTTATATCCTAACGAATTCGACATGACTTTATGGAACTCCAGTTTTGGAGATGTTTGGCCTCATCTAAGTAAGTCATTTACTATGTTATTATTGTATTATTTGTATTTTTTTATTTTCGTGTAAAATGTAAATGAAACAAGAGTACGCTATCAGCTATATTAACATAAAGATATTTGTAAGAATTTCATTTTATATATGTGTATTTATGCACATTATTTTTATACGCTTACACAGAATCATTTGTGCGTCTGAATTGTCATAAATCTAATAGAAATAAAATAAGAGTTTATCACAACTTATAATTCACAGCCAACTGAATTACTAAGGTTGCATCTTGCATGATATAAAATAAAATATGATAAAGGTAAGTCGCTTAGTACATAACTCATCAGAAATGTTAAACTGACACACTAAGCTAATGTAAAATTCATGATTAATACAACTAACATTTTTGATAAATTTCACAGTTCTTGTTACATTTTTGTATAGCACAAGAAATACAGCTCTAATTCAAGAAGTCTTGCATGCGTTCAATTGATAACAACAGTCAAATCAGTATCATAGCAATAATAATTTTTAGATAATTTGAGCGATAAGTTTGGGTCGGAACTAAACGAACTTTGGGATAACTTTGGTCCAGATTTTACATATTCCGGCAACGTACCTCCCTACAGCGAGGACTATATTGAGGAACAAATTGGACAGAATGCAGCATCGGGACAAACAGTGCCTTCTCATGTACAATGTTTACCACAACCTGGTTAGTAATTTATTACTTTGCCATCGTAAGATACGACTCCAATTTTTAATTATATTTTAGGTCCGTTTTTGCCGTGTCAAGATCTGTTCGATTGGTGGACGTTACGATGCGGAGTTTGGATAGTTTTTCTACTTGCTATGCTTGGAAACGGTACTGTTGTATTCGTACTAATATTTTCCCGGAGCAAAATGGATGTACCTCGATTTTTAGTATGCAACTTAGCTGCAGCTGATTTTTTTATGGGTGTTTACCTAGGTAAGATAAATGAAAGGAAAAAATATTTCCTAAACTTTATAAAAATTTATTTAAAAAAAATAAATATTATAGGTTTATTGGCGGTGCTTGATGCATCCACATTAGGAGAATTCAAAATGTATGCCATCCCTTGGCAAATGTCGGCAGGATGTCAATTAGCAGGATTTCTTGGTGTCCTAAGTTCCGAATTGAGCGTCTACACTTTAGCTGTGATCACATTAGAAAGGAATTATGCAATAACTCATGCAATGCATCTTAATAAAAGACTTTCATTGAAGCATGCCGTTTATATCATGACGATTGGCTGGGGATTTGCCATATCGATGGCTAGTCTACCGCTCTTTGGTATTTCCGATTACAGGAAGTTTGCAATATGTTTACCATTTGAGACTAGTGGCACTGCAGCCTTAGTGTACGTAGTCTTTCTAATGCTCATCAATGGAGTAGCATTTTTAATTTTAATGGGCTGTTATCTGAAAATGTACTGTGCGATACGTGGCTCGCAAGCATGGAATTCAAACGATTCTCGTATCGCTAAACGTATGGCGCTACTTGTGTTCACGGACTTTTTGTGTTGGTCACCAATAGCATTTTTCTCGCTTACTGCAGCTTTCGGGCTACAATTAGTGTCCTTAGAGCAAGCTAAGGTATTCGCTGTTTTCGTCTTACCTCTGAATTCCTGTTGCAATCCATTTCTATATGCTATTTTAACGAAGCAATTCAAAAAGGATTGCATTTTAATATGCAAAGCCATCGAAGAGTCCCGCGTTACAAGAGGAATCGGCAGATGTCGGCATAGTTCGAATTTCAGTAACCGCCAAACCCCAGCTAATACGAATAGTCTGGTGGACAGATCTTCTAAGGAACATCAAGCACCATGCGTCTGCACTTCGAAACTATTGGAAACGAGCCAGTGCCCCAGTTATCGATGGTGGGGAACTAGATTTCTCTGGCCTTGCGCGGCCGATCAAAGACAACGTTATACACGTAACGATCACTACGCTTACCAAATCGCTGAAATACAACAGAAACAGCATAAACGTGCTTCGTCGGTTTCCTCTAGCGAGAACTTCTCTTCATCTCGTTCGGACTCCTGGAGACAAACTCATCATTGTGGTATACCGTTGAGATTATTGGATCCCAAACGAAGAACATCCTCTTGGTTGGTAACTAGGAAACCATCTCAAGATTCCAACCTTAGTTCATCCCGTAATGACTCGTCGGGTTCAGCAGCTACCGCCAGCACCAGTACGTGGCGTATGTCAAGATCAACAGCCTCCCTAGAGATCAGTGCACGCAACACTCCAAGACCTATCAGGCCTAAGCCACGATTGACGCGACAACTTGCGATTCAAGAACCCGAACCACCTGCTTCACCGTGTAGATTAGCAGTACGTTTGTTGGCTACTATACCTTCGGCTGCTGAGATGAGCGAACAGCAAGACGAAGAAAGTGCTGTTCCTAAATAGAAACTATAATTATAATTAAATAAGGAACGATGCGAGACACGTTTCAGTATTAAGAATAAATAACGAGATACCTGCCATGTTTTTTATCCGAATTTACGAAATAGCGTACAATATAATATGCATTTTCGATTTTTATAGGAATCGACGTTATCGCTTAGATTATTTGTAAATATTTAGGGATAAGATAAAGATTTCATATTATGCTTGCATATAAATCATATATATATATGTACGAGGAGGAGAGAGAGGGAGGGAGGGAGGTAGGGAGGGAGAGAAAAAGAGAAGTAATTTTATTGAAATAATTGTCTTCGTCCTATCCCCAAATATTAGTATAAGCAAATGGTATATTATTACTTAAATAGACCATCGAATAATTTTAACGATGGCTAGAGTTCAGTCAAATACTGTATAATATTGTAACGGAGTAGACTGTAATACCAATATAGTTCCACCGCTCAATGCGCGAGCATTTGTTATATATAAAATATTTGTTATATAAATGATTTAAAGTGTTAAAAAACAAAACAAACAAAAATACGAATTTATATCTATGATAATTCATGTTGTTAGTATTTTCATATTACAAGACTGATAGCAGTTTATTTACTACATAATATGAAGAGAAGCATTCCAACATGCGCGAGCACTAATAATAATAATAACGATAATAATAATAATGCACTCTGGGACATAACACAATGATTTTAATCAGTTTGCAAATAATGCATTTTTTAATCATATTTAACAAAGCATTTAGCCATACATCCGTTCTTTCTATTTTTTTCCAAATAATTTCTCTGAGAGAGATATTAGAGTAATAATAATGATTAAAATTTTATTTATATTATTTAACATCCCAGATTACGCATTTTTTTTTTAAATGAAACATAAACCCTTCTTCTTAGGATCCACGACAAAGACACAAATGTTAATATCATAATCAATAAAAATGTATGTTCTGTTGCTTCTTTTAGATACGATGCATTACAAAAAAAAAACATGTTATGTATAAATATATTTATAGTATTTATCGCGATATAAAAACTAATTGATAAAAAAAAATTAATTAAAAAATAAAATGAAGTCACTATAATAAACATGTACGTTCATATTGTCGTGAATGTATTTTTTCAATCGATTACAACGATTAGGTCATGTACGGGATGTTGCTGTTTATGCATAAGAAAAATACGAGAATATATAAGTAAATGTTGTAGACGTAACATCGTTCATCTGTCCTATGCGTTTTCGTCAATTAATTTCCTTCAGTATTAAAATGCTTGAAATGAAAGATGAATGAATATTGTATAATGATTTAAGGGATAACGAAATGTTACCTTTGTATGCAGCCAAAGTTACGATAAAAGGAACCACATCATTTAACGATCAACCGATTATTTATTGCAATGTAAAATGAAAGTGGATAAAATATTTCTATTTAATAAAACAAAATTATCTCTCAATCTTATGTACAAAGAGAGAGTAAAATATTTAGAAAAATAATATTCGTCATATAAAAGAATTTCTGAAATCGAAACAGCAAATTGAAAATAAATTTATTCTAGTCACATATTTACTAGACATCGTCGTATAAAAACAAAGGAACTTTCTCTTTTCTTTTTTTTTTTTTTTCTTTTTTATTCCACTAATTCAAGATAGTAACTATGACCAAATTTCATTCTGCACATGACACGTTAAATAATTCTATTTAACGAGAGCAAACGCACGTGTTCACAATACGTTTGAAGGCTGCCATACTTTTTAGGAATAATAATGAATTCTTCAATAAACATGTTTGATTAATTAATAGCATAGCAAACAAAAATGGGTGATAAGAATTTCGTACTATAAACAATATTCTAAGAATAAACAATTTACATTTGTAAGGTGCCAATAAATTTATCTTCTACATTAAGGTGTAGAAAAATATAGATCGATAATGAAAGAAACTTCATATTATTCTTGTTTCATTAAAAAAAAAAGAAATAAAAAACAACAAAAATCAATCGATCCTTTCTCCATTTATCCCTTTCGAATACTCGAGAAAAAATTTGTCTAAAAATTTTATTAAAAATTGTATAGACCGACTTTAACTTTCTTTTTTCTTATCTTTTAGTAATTTTTCTTAATTTGAAATAATTACGAGTATAATAAATATTTTGATAAAATGTTCATAATATTGAAAAAATATGTTTAAATTTTAATTAATAGGTATAGGGATGATCAATCGCATATTTTTCGTTACATTCTTAATGAATCTTGATTTATTTCATGAGTTAGCGTTTTTATCCGGATTGTCTAACATATATCGGAATGTCAGAAGTATATAAATCTATATGACGGAACAATGCTTGGTACCTGATCTTGAAAAATGTTAGGTTTCTTAGTCTGAGCTACGTGCATTGTATATATCCCTTGTATAGGGTGTGACAATGTATGGGATATATAATCTGTGTTAAGCCGATGAACTGGTGGCGTCTGAGGTCAGCCGCCTTATATGATGGCTGCTGTAACTACTGGAATTATTATCACGTTAAATTTTGGTCCATCTGGTAAATAGATTCGTAGCATAAATAATCCATTCAATTGTCATATAAGAGCGGGTTTTTTTTTATCAAAGTGGTATAAATCCATATTTTTTCATTTCGAGATATTTGAAGTTTGCGTTCGAATTGATTTAAAAATATTAGTATGAACATAATTAATTTTATTATCTGATAGCAATTGATGAAATTGTTCAAAAAAAGCAAGTTATTTTTGGAGCTGCAAATAGATTCATATTAGAAAAAATAAATATTAATGCGTTAGCATTTATTAATGAAACTTTTATTGATAAATTTATAAGGATATTGTATCATTTTTTCGGCTTTGTTATTAACAATATGAAAATAAGTTATCCATGCTTAACTGAAACTAATTTTAACTTACTTTGTTTCAAAATGGGACTTCACTTTTTAAAAAATTGGCAAATATAATTACATAAAATAAAAAGAAATAATTTATTGGTAATCATAATAAATCATATTTCTGAAACGCACCGATGAAATACAAAAATTTTTATTTTCTAATTAATAGACGATCATTAATTTTATATTTCGAAATAACGTAGATAAATGAACAAATATGAGAAAAATATATTATTATTTTGTATTTGTCGACAGCTGCTGCTGTTTTTGCAACAGACCATCCACTACAAATGCATTTTACGGAGTACTTCGTTCAAGGTCTCATTTTGTGGATTATCTCTACTTTTTCCATCTCAAAAGACAAGTGGAAAAGATCAAATAAAGTCTCCGGTCTCTCGTATTTTTTCTTTTTTAAAACATGAAAAATGTACTCAATATGTTCCATTGTGTGTGGTTAAAAAATTATGATTCAATTTAAGTTGTTGTTTATTCATGCACTGTTGACCTAATAAATAAAACTTTTTTTTCTCTAGCTAAAAATGTATAATACTTTGTCCGATATGAAAAAAAGCAAGATGAAAAAAGAATCTCTTTTTATCTCGGTAAAAAAATTTATACTTTTAAGGGTAACAAAAAGAAAAAAAAAACAAAAAATAACAATAATAACATCAATAAAATGTATAATCGGTAAAAAACAAAAAATGAAACATTGATTCAACGATATAAAAAAATGTACAGATACGTTAAAGGAATGAAGACAAATATGTTACCCTAACAATGAATATTTTTTAATTGTAATGTATAACATTAAATTTATTCCTAATCTAATGACATATTTAAATAAGAATGTAAATTAATTTTTATATTTATTTCTATCAGATATTTATGTCAGGACAAAGATAAACGTTTAAGAAATTAAAAAAGAAGTTCGGGATATGTTATACTAAATAGAAATACTAGGAAGTGTATTAACGCGCGCAAGGTAAATGTTTTATCAAGAATCCAATCATAAAAAAAAGAAAGAAAGAAAGATAGAGAGAGAAATGGGGGAAAGCTTAGTAGAATACCTGTTACTTCAGCAAGGGCAATCCTACCTGTTGCACATCATTCGGGATTCATGAAAGAGCCGTAAGTGCTTCTGCATGGTTTCACGTATATAAACGTGTCAGAGTTTGAATGAAGTAGAAAGCATAAACAAAGAGAGGGATGACAGTCTCCTTGTCATTTCTCCTTGGCCGGGTATCCATGTTAGACCCCCGATGATTATTATTTGCCAAGAGTCATAAATAATAAAGGATATTACGTAGGTAGGTAGTCTGCGGTATAATTGAATCAAAATAATGTAGAGGTATCGTATTGTATGCGTGGCCAATCATAAGTCAGATGAACCTATCTCCTATCCAGCGCAGCAGGGTGGTTTGGTGGCTGCGCCGAGGGTATATCCCTATATAAAGAGTGTCATCCCTACACCAGGACGCTCATTCCAACAACAACCACCAACAGCTTACAACACAACATCTGAAGAAGATAGTCTTTACTTTTAACATCCCTTCCCAAGACTTCATTTTCAATCTGCAACATGGTAAGTCATTGTCATCTATTTTTCGTTACCTTATTTTTGATTTTTTCATTTAAAATTTATATCATTTCTTCGTATATTTATCTTCCTTTTTTTTTTATCAGTTTCTTTTATTAGTTATGGTATAACAAGGAATAAAAAGTTATTTCTAAGTATTGTATTATATTTGTCAGATATTTTTCACATTTTTTACGCGGTTTTTATATTTAATAATTATCTTTTATTAAACACGATCCGGAGAGTTGTTACTTTAGATTTATATGTGTGTGTATATATATATAAGGACTAATTTATAGACTGTTTAGATCCGATTTCATGTCATTAAATATATGGACATGGGGGTGCGCGCATACATGTCTCCGAGTAATTAATAATAGAAATTAACCGTAACAAGATACGTTTACGTAGTTTATCGCTGAGCTTAAATATCATTTAATATATAGTATTTATGTCATGTGCTTTCATTTTGCGCAGACAATTTTCGTAACAACAAATTTCTATAATTTAATATGATACTCGTTGGTTATCGATATCGTAAATAATTTTCAACGTATAAAATAATTTATTTTATAAATTATGCTAATTGATAATGCTCGTATACATGCACATTCAGTTAAGTTAGAGAGAAGGTATTGTTTTATTCACGAATAAGTTTAGATTGAATTATCAAAGTAGGTCCCAAGAGATCGCAACGATAGAGAAGAGAATACGTACGCCTACGTACATTTTGTATTTTGCGAAAAGATAAATGGAATTGTTGTTAGTTATGTTAAAAAAGTAAAAAGAAAGAGTAAAAATAAAAGTTCCTTTAAGTGTAATAATTTTTTAAAATATTACAAATTCATAAGAACGTCAAGAGATTATTACTACGCGAATTTATACGATATTCGAACTTTCGCAAACTCGTACGATAGATAAACTTTATCGTTTGTTATTCCTCGGTTGATTTTTTTTCACAAACAAATTTAAAGTTTCAAACGGAGTTTATAGTATAAAACAATGAGCGAACAAAGTTAGAAGTTTGGAAAACTTGTAACATATTTCTATTACAGAGATCTCTTTTATCGACGTACATACTGATTTGTATATGCTTCCAATGTATGGTATCTTCTCCGATCGTAACATCCCTCGATGGTGATAAATTAAATGAATTTGAATACGTCTTAAAAAGACAAAGAGTCGAAAATTCCGATGGACAGGATTCGAAAGAACGTCGAAGTAACATGGGTTCTTCCTTCATAAGATTTGGTCGTAGTCAATCTGAAAATGGTATGGACAGTGAAACGGAAGAAGTTAAAGTTGATAGACATCCACGATGGAAATCACCGGATATTACTATTCGATTTGGTCGATCGGAAATAAAAAATATTCATCCTGGTCGAATCTACGAAGAAGCGAACAATTTAAATATTGTCAGGTAATTTTACGATAAATTTATGCAAGAACTTATCAACCTTCAATGATTTAAAATTGTATAAATCTAGTTCGGTCTATTGTTTTTTCTCTTTTTATATAGTAAATAGAATAATTAATATTATTTAAAATTGTCTTTATTTTATAATCTTAAAACAGAACAATAGCTCGGTAATTTTAATAATAATTTAAAAGTTATTTTATGAGTTGATTATTTTATGCAAAATAAAAATCACAAAATTATACAATTTTTACTGCGTTTAATTATTTCTTATTTTAAAAATTAATATATTTCTGCATAACTTAAAATAATTACTTCTATCTAATGAGATACAATTTTTGAATGAAATGCTTTCTTCTTTCTTTTTTAACCAGGAACGAATTATACTCTATATGCTCGGATATGTTAGTGGCTGCAACGAGTGGTAATAAGGACGAACGATCTTACATACCAAGGATACTACGCTTTTGTAACACAATAGAAGAACGAATAAATTGAAGCATTTACGTACACACACATACACATAGATACATACATACACATCATAAGTGCGGTACTATATATCGACATTACGCGACTTCTATGTAATTTTGCGGCAAAAGAACACATTCGAAAAAATTATAGCTAAAAAGAACTTATGATTTTTAACGCAAACACAATTAAATCAATTGAAATCGACTATCTATTATTATTAATTTTTAAAAAGATTCCTTAATATCAAATTGATTTACAAACGAATTATTTATTTAAAGAAATAGTATCTGCGAATATGTTCATATTTGTAAAATACATCTTCGAATAGAAATTATTTTTAAATATATTCGCTTTCGATATTATTAAATAATAATAATTGAACATATGTTACAATAAAAAATATTTAACATAATTGTTGTATTAAATGTACCCGATATGTATTAAAAAAAAAAGAAAAGTATATTTCAATTGTTGCGTATCTTCATTGGCGCTTCAGTGGTATTACTTTTCTCGATAGAGAGCGCTGACTAATATGCGCGCAACATTTTGTTTCTTTTAAAATTAAAACTTTTTATAATATATTATAATATTATTTACGTTAAAAATATATATATTTAGATTATTATTTTTTTAATAAAATATAATTCTGTGTTGCATTTTATTTTATAATTTTAAGAAAATATAAGGAAAATCGTCGACCAATCAAATCGCTTATAATAATTCCTAGAACCGAGATTTTGACATTAGAGATGATACTTTGATTGTCTACGTTCGTTTCGATCAATGGTTAGAGCGTGGTATTTCATTTTCTTGGCATAATAAACAATCGTAGCAAGTGGGTAGGAGAAATAGATAGTGAACGTTTTGAGAATTTCTTTATCTCTCGTTCAATTAATAATGATTTTAGTCAAAGTATTAAAGAGTTATTTATTTTAAACGTATATACATATAGATATATCTATATAGATATAAATAGGGTAGAAGATGAATCCATCGATTTTTTCTAATCCTTTTATCTACTGCTATAAAATAGCATTCACTATTTTTTTTCCTATTACTTGCCATTGTTTACTTACGATCGTTAAGCCAATATGATTTTAAAATTCCGTTCTATTAATTTAAAAAAATCATTCAGATGTACTTAAAATGTGCTCACGAAGAAATGTGTTCGCTGATACATATATATAGATATATACAAATGTATATTTTTTAAGTATTATATAAATATTACTAAAAAATGTATGCATACATACACATATACGCATGGATATTATAAATATATACACATATATTTCACTATATAACTTGAACTGATTAATATACGAAATTGTGATATACATGCTGTGGATTTAAAAATGGTCTTAAGTCGAAATGATAAAAGAAAAAGGAAGGAAGGTGATCTGGTTGATCTCATGGAGCCCGTTTCGGAATCACCGAAAAGGTAACATTTAAATACTTCTTCTTTTTCTTTTTTCTCCCCAAATAAAAAATACAATTTGTTATTTAGAATTTGTATAATTGACCTCACAAAAAAAAGAGAAAAAAGATTTTTTTTTTATCTATTGCAAGTTTAGTTTACATATATTACATAGTATTGCAAATGTAATGTGAAATACATTTGCATTGCATTTATAATTAAACAGGTACCAGAAATCAAGATTCAAGTTAAAAAGTGTCTATCTTTAAAATTAACTCATCCTATATTTCTATTGACCTACATCATTGACCGGCAAGTGTTTCAAAAACATTTAAACTTTGTTTCGTAGCACTGCTATCCGTGCATGTAGTTTCATATTTTAATAAATAATACATCATTTAAAGTATTAGGATTATATATGCAATGTGCATATGTTACAATAATAGAAGAGAAAAGTCATGAATTTAAATTTATCATAGTAGTTCAAACATCTTCTTATCAGTCATTGCATTTATAGCGAAATGTTTTACTTTTTTACAGTTTGTTGCAACAAGCTTTATAATCTTTTATCAGAAATATCATAAGCTATAGAAGAACATATAGTATTTAATAATATTTTATTACAGAGCTAAGGTTCATGCACAAAGGAAATTTGCACAAGGTGCAACGACGGTTTTTAATTTACCACCCACACCTATAAAGGATAAAGAAAAAGCTAAACCTGCTGTTATAACTGAATTGATTACTCATAAACGCCCTAATACAGAAGACTTTTTAACTTTTCTATGTTTCCGAGGTATTTTTAATTATATTTTAAGTCTATCTATTTCTTCGATTAATAATATTTTTCTTATTATGAATTTGAATTATTAATATTCTATTTAGGAACATCACTTTTACCACCAAGTTTAAATTTCTTTAATCTCGGAACCAAAAAGGAAAAACAAACACCTAAACTTTCATCTAATGTAACAGGAAAGACTACATCTTCGACTACTCCAGTGACAGAACAAAAATCTGATTTACCTAATCCAAAAAATGTTAATAAAGTAAAAAGTATTGTAACAGAGAAGAAAGATGCTCCTAATGAAATTCCGAAAAATGTTAACAAGTTTAAAACTACAGCATGTACAGTTCAGGCGCTTAAGAAAAAATATCAAGAACAACGGCTTGCCAAACAGAGGATTAAAAGAAAATTTAAAAGTTCTTGTATCATACGTACAAGATCATGTTCAGAACGAACCGTGTTAAAACCAGGAAGTACATTAACTTCGAAGAAATTTCTTACCAAATTTGAAAGTAAAAGACATAGTCTAAGGAGCAGTTCTCTGTTAAATAAATCTAAGAAGGAAGCTCCTAGAACCAAACCTGTTTTAGTTAAGCCAAAGAAAAAAATTCTCATGAAAGAGAGAAATAGTGATACATCTAACCAAGATTCGATGAATGACGAAGAGGAGTTATCTTTAGAAAAGTCGATTTCACAAATGAAACGTACAATACAAAAATCAGTACAGAAAAGTGTATGCACTAGAAGTAAAACAGAAATGCGAAGAGTAACTCGATCTCATAGCCAACGAACATCTGCGAAAGATCTTTCACGTAGGCCAACAAGAAAGACAAAAGAAGCAGCAGCTGTGTATATGGAAATTCTTGGAAGAAAATTAGTGAGTCCTGATTTGGATAATGATGATAATCTTTCTGTTGATAGTTTTCCAGAGTTACCAAATGCTCGTAAAATAGCTCAAACAGAAAATGAAATGAAAGCTAAAATCAAGCAGCCAACGAATAAATCTGTAGGAAAAACTAAAGATACAAGAACCACTACTGCTTCTACTGGTATGACTAGACGCTCGGATAAGGATGTATCTAATAAAATGGCTCTTAAAAGTAAAAGATTAGTTAAAGTTCAAAAATATTCTGAAACAGAAAGCGAGGAAGAATCAGAGAAGTCTGTTGAAACTAGTAATGCAAGACCTATTACCAGACAAAGTTTAGGTAAATTAAACAAGCCTATAAGTCGTAGTCTTAGGTCTTCTTCTAAAAATTTAGTCACGAAATTAGAGTCTCAAAATAATACAAGTACTAAAATTAAAAATCAAAATTCAGCTAAATCTAACAAAGATAAATTAGCACTAAAACGTAAACGTAATCAAAGCGCTAGTAAAGAATTACCACCAGATAAGCAGGATGAATCTAATAATCAAAAGGATCCTAAGAAACATAATAATGGAGATAATTCTGGTTCGGACGAAGAAACATTAGGAATGATTTTGAATAAATTAAGAAAGAAGAAGACCTGTAATAACGAAGAAAAATTAAATACTAGCGTTACGGAAAAAATAAAAGAAAGTAATGAATGTTGCACAAAGATGTGTGGTACTAAATTAGATTTATCTAAAATATCGGACGACGAGGAATCATTTCGTGGATTTACTAAGAAAGCGATTTCAACGGTATTAAATTCGTGTCATACACACGCAAACGCAAATCTTCTTGTTACCGAAGAAGACGACGGACATTCGTATACGCTTAAAATACAAAGTGTGTCGCGCGATGAAAATTCATTAACCGTACAAAAACACAATGTTTCCAGAAACAGTACTTCTTCGCCAATTACAACTATACAAGAACAAGAAACAGCATCAGATTTACCAACTTCTATTCAGTTGCAGATACCAATGTTACAGAAGACGAAAGAAAGTCAATGTAATCATGAAAATATAGAATCTAAAAATATTGTCGATATACCCTTGTCAGCTTTGCACATGAGAAAAGAAAGGGTCAATATGTCTACCGAACAAATAGAGAAGTGGTTAAATGAAAGTTCTCTAGCCAAGGAAGAAAGTAAATTAGAAATGGAAAATATACCTAGCTTTAAATATAATGACCCTATTATTAATACAGATAAATTAAAAATTGATGTTCCACACTTATCCATACCGACCAAAATTCAACATTTAGTAAGACCCGTTAATGTAACACTTTCTAAATTAGCCGAAAAAGCTAAAGATCATTTATTAATTCAAGAAAAACATAATTCGTTCCCATTGGATCCTCAAATTATGGATCTTAAATATCCAAATGTTCATAGTAGTAAGATTAAAATAGAGACTACTTGGAAAGATATCATTAAACAAGGAAATATTAAACTGCATAAAGCTTCATCTTTCGGCGGATATGGAAAAACATTGAAACCAGATCTCTCTCTAATAGAATCTACTCTTAGCAATTCTCCGGAGAAGAAATCACAAGGAGAAAAAAAATCAATATTTCAAGGACGGAAAGGATTTTTACCTAAAATTAAGGAAAGAAAAATTACAACTAATTCTAATGCCTTTTCTCCTGAAAATGAGAGCAGCGTTTACGCGTTTGAAAGTGATACTGAAGTACCTGTTAATACACCATTCAGAAGAAAAATTCGTGATTGCACTAAGTCGTCTATGGACGTTGGAACTATATCGGAACAAAAAATGTATGAAACAACAGAAGAAACTACGAAAATTCATCTTAATGTATTAAAAAATCAAGATGAGATCGTTAATCCTAATGCTATTAGTACCAGCACTTCTGTTGCTACTACTAACATTGTTAATACTATAACAAATAATACTGCTACGAGTAGTACTACCACTGCCACAGCCACAAGTACTATGATGGAACTTGAAAATAATGAAATAAAAAATCCACCAAATGCAGCATCATTGAGCATAAACAAGCTCGAGTTGCCACAGAATTTTGCAAGTTTAACTAACGTACAAGTTCTATCTCTAGATAAGTTGACTACATCTTGGAGTGATGTAAATTGTAGCACTTCGATAGCTGTTCAAGTTAACTTCGACGACTGTGTACAAAAGCAAGAACAAGAGGAAACAAACGTGACTCAACAGAAAAGTATTGAGATATCTACACAAACTGACAATAGTAATATGAACAGTGACAACGATGGTCAGTTGTTTTACATTCCATTGCAAGCAGTTACAAGAGCTGGTCCCAATTTAATTCCAAGTCAACAATTAATACAAGGGGTTGCTGTTAAATTGGGTACCGAAGGGCCAACTGGCCCAAATCAAAGAGTTCTTCTGCGTGCAAAATTAGTTACCAAGCCACCTCTGTCGATCGCTCGTTGTCCTCCTGTTGGAACAGTACAACCAACAACCCGAGCTACACAAAATTCTTCAATAGAAAATCCGACTCAATCTACGTCATCGGCGGGATCAAATACTGCATCAAACATTGCTTCAAATACTGCTTCAAATACTGCACCAAATACCACTAATTTAATAATGGCTCCAACTGCTGTAACCTCTGAATTTTCTATACCTTCACCAACAAAACTGCAAGACGTTATGTCAGGAACAAATAAACAAAACAATACAACAAAGTTGAATAATAGTACGGAAAAAATAGTAAAAATACCCAAAAATCAAAGAGAAAGAAAATTATCCGTAGATTCAGTTAAAATAGGAAAAAGGTAAAATAATATATTTATATCCATTTAATTTTTATTATTGTATGTTATATGATCTACACATTTCTGAATGTGTTAATAATTTATAGGTCTCAAGCAAAGTCACGGCAAAAGGGATCTGATATTTCTTTGATAAGTAACAGTACACTTTCAAGTGAAAAAATGTCAAGTAGCGAAGCGTGTCTAGTAGAAGCACCAACATTTCATCCATCGGAAAAAGATTTTCAGGATCCTTTGGAATACATTGATAAAATTAGACCTGCTGTTGAAAAGTTTGGAATTTGTCGAGTAATTCCACCTCCTAATTTTAAGGTAATCTTAATACTAACTAGTGTAAACGATTTATTATATATTATTAAAAACAAATAAAAAAATGATGCTTTGAATAATATAATAATTAAATTAAAATATTTTTCATTATTATAGCCAGAATGTAAAGTATCCGATGATATGCGATTTACTGCCTACAATCAATACGTACATCGTATGCTACACAGATGGGGTCCTAATGTGAAAGAAATGATGGCCATAAAAAAATATTTAGCAACACAAAGTATAACTCTTACTCGTCCACCATGGGTAAAAAATATTTTTTAATTATTTAAAATTGTATATAAGGAATCTAATTATATATTACTCATCTGTATTTTTGTATTTTCATTCGCAATTCTTTTAGATTGGTGGCATGGAAGTTGATTTGCCGCATTTATACCAAACAGTTCAAAGTTTAGGTGGCTTGAAAGAAGTTATTGAAAAGAAAAAGTGGCAGAAGGTAGCGGATGGAATGAAAATACCGAAATCTGCTCAAGATCGTGTCACTAAATTAGATGATATTTATTGTAAATATTTATTGCCATATGACACTTTGTCGCCAGGTATGATATGATGATTTCGAATAATTAATTGAAGTAATTGGACTTTTCATAAATAATCATCTAATATAATATATTATTTTTATAGAGGAACGTAGTAAATTATTTGATGAAGTTGAAGAGGAATGGTTAAGAAGAGAAAATAAAACATTGCAAATGCAAGATACATCTACAACTGATAATGAAGATGATGAAGATGATGATACTTCAGATGAAATTGAGGAGTGCATCGTGAAAGTACGACCAAACGAGAAAATTAGTATTGTTTTAATTGTTTAAATATCTAAATTACAAAGTATATATAAGACAAATTTGCAATATTAGATAATATATTAATATTTTATAATACAGATTATTTGATTTTTTAAATTTCTTTTATTTTCATACACTAATACTGTGTGTAAATATTTGTTAAGTAAAATTCTATTATTTATATTTCTTATATTATCAATGTTTATAATAACAATATTAAAAAAACTTGATGTGTATATATATTTTATATGTATATACACATACATATATAATGTTACGTCTATTATATTTTATTAACATATATTAAAGGGCAGGAATATGCCTTTGAATGCCTTCTACCGAATCGCACGAAATACTCAACGCATGTGGTTCGGAGAAAATCAACGTTCTGGAAATGAATCCGAAGGAGCATCTGCGGATGAAGTTGAATCTGCATTTTGGAAACATGTAACAGAAAGAAAACGTCATATCTGCGTGCATGCAGCAAGCATTGATTCAAGCGGACGTGGTTTTGGTTTTTCTGTTGCCAAAAATAGTCCATTTGCTAGACATCCATGGAATCTAAAAGTTCTTACTAACAATGCTGGATCGGTATTAAGAGCTTTAGGACCGTTAATGGGTATGCAATGGAATTCATATTTTATATATATTTCTATAACAAACAAAAATATAAATATATATATANTATATATATATTATTTAATTTTGTAGGAGTAACTGTACCAACATTGCACGTTGGTATGTTATTTACTGCTTGTTGTTGGTATCGTGATCCTCATGGTCTTCCATGGATCGAATATCTGCATACAGGTGCTAAAAAAATTTGGTACGGTATACCGGACGAACATAATAATAATTTTAAAGAAGCTTTAACAAAAATGGTACCACAATATTGTAAAAACAAAACTATATGGTTACCCTCTGACACTGCCATGGTACCACCAGAACTATTAGTTAGCAATGGCGTCTCTTTGTGTCAGACTGTTCAAGAGCCTGGACAATTTATTATCGTATTTCCAAAAGCATTTACATCCAGTATATGTACAGGATATGTCGTATCAGAAAGCGTTTACTTCGCACAACCTTCTTGGCTAGAAACTGCAGAACAAGTATTCAAAGTATGTATCTTATTTTTTTACATATATATTAGATTTGTGATATGTTTATATTTATGAAATTTATTCCAGGACATACAGGACAGTTGTGAACCTTCAATTTTTTCATTTGAAAGATTATTGTTTAATATTATTAATGATTCACGATCTAATATAGATATGTTAAAGCAGGTAAAAATAATAATTTATATATAATTTTCCCGTTCTGTACAAATATATTTTTTATTTTTAATAATCTTTTTGTTGCTTTAGATTTTACCAAGCGTTATACAAATTCGTGAAAGGGAAATTGATCATCGCAAAAAATTAAAATCTTTGGGTCTTAACAACAGAGAGAAATTACCCTTACCCGATAGTGGTAAACGTGGAAAAGGGAAAAAGGTGAAGGAAGATGATGGAGATTTTGAATGCGAAACTTGTAGAGCGAATTTATTTGTATCCTTGGTAAACAATTCGCAAGACGATAGTGTCTACTGTCTAGCGCATGCATTGCAAATGCTTACAAAAAATAAATCAATTTTGAAGAGCTGTACATTAATGTACACATATAGTGAGGTAAATGTATATATAAATTTCTTTTTATTCACCTTAATTCATACTTTTTGATATTATGACTATTTGAAATATCATTTCTCTTTTAATATTTAGGAGGAATTGGATGACTTAATTCATAAATTGGAGGATAAAATTGAAGCCAAATCTAAGAAAACTAATCAAATAAAACAAAGTAAATAAAGTATTAATCCTGCTTATTTAATTATTAAAAAACATGTAGGTAATAATTGCTTATCTCATCTTATCTGTTAAAATGACGATTAAATCTAATTGTTCGACAAGATTTAGAATAGACTATATAGAATATGTTAAAACAAAATTATTTATGTCAAAGTACAGTTAGAAAAGGAACAGAAAGAGGTGGTATAACTGTAGTATGATTGTATTAGTTAACATTGAAGAATATTAAGATAAGTTACATTCTTAATAATATTTTGTTTATTAGAGTTCCATATATTTAATGCTTTAGGCATCGGTCCATGTCTGTGTACATTAATCTTCTGCTTCAATGTTTATAATAGCTATTAAAATCTGTTACCCCCATGCAGGGTATTTGTACTGCAAGTTATAAATAAAGTACGTCCTTATTCCTACTGTATACAACAAAATATTTATGTTCTTGTTTAATTAACAAGCCTCATTGTATTTCAATTTTACATGAAATTTTATTTTCATCAAAGAAAGGAAAATCAAATAGAGCGGATTAATAAATAATGAGGTCCTTCGAATGGATAAAAGATTTAGATATTTATATATATAAATGTATATTTTAACATTTTTTTATTTATATAGATATTTTCAAGCATAAAAATAGTGCATAAAGTTTTCATCTCATACACGGTGTATATTAAAAATAACATTACAATACATATATCTGTTATTATACAAGTTGCTTTAATACTAATATATATATTAGTATCAAAATATTCGATTCATTATGAAAAACTTTGAAATATATTATTATAAAAAATTAAACGCGAAATTTGTCAAAATAGAGCGAGTATTTTTTATATGAAATGCTTTATTTGAAGCTGCCTCTAGATTTTATTTTCAGAGAATAATTGTTGCATTTAAAAGTGCTCGCAATAATCAACAAGTAGCTTATAAAAAAAATAATATATTTTGATAAACTTCATCAAAATAGATTTGAACTTTACTCTTTTATAATAGATATATTAATTTGATAAATAAATTTTATCTGCAATATTTCTTCCATATAATCCCATACGAGATACTTTCGATTAATAACATATAGAATTAATAGATAAGAAGACATTTTTAACCCATCTCTCCGTTATCGTTTAAATAGCACTGTTATTTCGTGCTTGGAAGAAAAGCTTAAATATTATTTACATTTTATCCTTCGGATACTGGAAATTCTTTACACTTGTAGTATAAATATGTAAGAGAAGCAGATAAAATTAATTAAATTTTGTATTAAATATATCATAATCATAAATAAAATTATATTGTACGTTGAAATTCCATGTTAAAGATTCCAGATCAAATATATTCATCTTCTATAACGTCCGAGATAAGCTTTGCAATTTGGACAGGTATGATGTACATCCATACATTCATCAATGCAACATGGAATTAAACAGCAACCGAACCAACAACTAGAAATAATATTAAGTCATATATGATTTACTTTGTCTTTCTTTGTTAGTCGAATAACTTATTTAATATTCATACCCGAGTAAAGCTATTACAACTCCGGAAATGTAAGCGATCATGCCAGGTTCTGTTTTTGTTGTAGACTCGATTTCAGCTTGACAATGTGGACAAATGGTATGAGTTGGTCCTGGTCCCATAGGGACAATAGTAGTTACAATAGCTGGTCCTTGTGCATCTGTGTTAACAAAATTATTTGTTATAACATAGATTTATTTAAATATATATATAATATAGAATCAAATAATGATTAATATTTAAACTCACACACTTCAGCAGATGTAAATGGACTAGCAGGCGGAACTCCACCCACTGTTTGACTATAAGATGGAGGTGCATAGGGTGGAGGTTCGTATGGTGGTGGCGGAGTATTTTTATTCATTTTAAGCTAAATAAACTAAATATGATCTAGATTATTATATAGATAGAATAGATAAAAATTACATTAATTAAATATACACAGGATGACCTGTAACCGGTGGTACAAGTAAGCAGGGAGTGATTCTACATGAAAAACTAAGTTGAAATTCTAGAATAAAATTTTTCAAGTACGTGTGTATTTGATTTAGTTTCAGCTCAATACTTCCTAATATTTCGGAGAGCATTTTTATGCTTCTTAATATGTTTACAAGCATTTTGTATCTATCATTGATTCTATTCTTATGTTTATCAAATAAAACTTAGTTTCCAAAATAGCATACTCAGGCAAGTACAGGTGTACTCGACAAATTTTCAATTATTTTGTTTAGAAATAAAACCTTGTATAAACAAATTGTATTTTATATTTTCAACTTAGTTTTTCATGTAGAATCATCCCCTGTTCATTTATACTACCAATTACAGGTCACCTTATATAATTCAATATATTTTTTATGATATATGAAAGGAAATTATTAAGACAATAATAAAAAAGTAAATTTACTTTTATTAAAAACGAATGATTTCAAATCTATTTAAAAAAAGAGAGGAAATATATACTAATTCAATGATATCTCACATACATTCTATTTTTTGATTCAATTAATTTAAAGAGATTAAATATACCAGATATTAAGCATGCAATTTTTAAAGTTGTTTAGGTATTTTATCAATTACATAATAGATATGATACTATAAAGATATTACATTAAGAAAAAAATTGACATTTTATGCAATCACAGTTTGTAAAAAAATGTGCATGAATCATGACTCGTGTGTGTGTGAAATGATGATTATTATAAATATTAAACAGAAAGGAAAAAAATTGTTCGATGTTATTAATTTTAAAAAATATATTTTCCAATTTCTTTAATAACATAATAATCTTTTTTTCTTAATAAATGTAAATGAAAAATATGTAACATAATATTGGAATAAAATGAAAGCGGAAAAAATTGTATTAATTTGTAGAATCGGAATGGCAAAATAAAGGAACAAGTATGTAATCAAATATTATTAACAAGTGTCAACGCCCAAAATTTCATTCGCCAACATAAATCACGCAAATATGTGAACAGTTACTAGTCGTTCTTGTGTAACACACAACAAGCATATGATGAGTAATCGGTTATTTTTAGAAAATAAATTACTGCTAATTTTGTTTGAAACATTTCTATTTTATCACCAATAATTATAAACCAATTATTTAAAAAAATATATTCTCTTAAAGTTACAAAATTTGAATAACAAAAAACTGCGTAATCGATGAAAATATTCATTCACATTTACATATTTGGTACAAAATCTTGTCTCGAGTAATCGTTTTAGGCTAATTTATCTGCAAATTTGAACATAGATTTAATCGTACGAATAAATAATATATTCGAAATGATCTATTATGGATAATAGATGATTGTTGAATTAACAATTAATATATTATAAAGAAAAGAATACTGATAATATTGATTAATGCAAATCTATCGTGTTAGATAAACAATAAATATGGCTCGTTACTATTAAATGAAAACGAAATGGATTATCTTTCGTGATAATCTTATTAGATACTTTAACTTACTTTCACTAATATTTTTCAATCACGTACACAATGGTCGAAAATATTTAAACACCTTCAACTTATAAGTCACTTTACGTGATAAACATAAAAAAGAGAACGCACCGATTTACGATAAGTACAGTGGTGCCATCTTAATTTATAAGATTTTATTTTGCAACTAAATATTTTCATCTTCGAAAGCTTTTTTTATTTAAAAAATGTTTAACAGATTCCTAGTTATATTTTCTTCGATAACACAAATAAATATTATTTCATTTTTATTATTAAAATTAAATTGATAATTTTTGTTCCATCATCTTAAATGATTCAAAAATAATAAATTATAATTTATGATAATTAATCGACGTGTACCAATGACTATATTCGACTATAAATAGTCATTATCAAAATACAAATTTTTATTTTCATATTCATTTTTTCTTTATCGAATCATTCCATTTTATAATGATATTTGCATAGATACAATAGGATTTATTTTGAGATCCTATTACAGATTATAAATATATATGTTAGAGAATTACCAACTATTTTATACTATAATTTCGAAATCTAACAGTTTATTTTTATCTCATACATTTTAAATCAAAAAATATATCTTATCACAATTTGACGTATATGAATGTAAAGAGGAAAATGACAGTTTAAAAAGCAAATTATTCAGCTTGGAAAATGTTGAAGAAAGCATTGGCGTAAGTCAAATTTATGAAGATAAGTATGAAACAGAAAATATGTCGAGCAATGAAAACGACAAACTTAAGGATGATTTAAATTCCGCGAAAGCTTGCATTATTAACGAAATGAAATGCTTAAAACCTATTGAAGATAGTCAAGATTACTTCGATAAATCTATAAACAGTCTTTTATCTATGTTCTTAGAAATGATTACTTCGAAAGAAGAGGAAGTAATTAATGCCATACAGGAACAATTTTCTATCAATAGAGAAAAATTTGAGAACGAAAGACAAGAAAGTATAAATGCTGAGAAATGTATTAGATTAAGGGCGRAACAACTAGRAATGGAAATAGAAACATTAAAAAATAATATTACAATACAAGAAACGAAACATTATGAATTACTTAGTGAAATTTCTCGTATGGAACATTCATTAAAAGGAAATAACAATGAAAAAGAGATACTTATGAAACAAATTCAATCACTTGAAATGGATTATAATAATATGCAAAAAGAATTTAACACGTTCACGCCGGCACGGGCCACCGGTGACCCGCACTAAACTGTCTCATCGGGCGGCGCGGGCCACCGGTGACCCGCACTAAACCAGATGAAGCGCGATATTAATTTGAGCACGGCCTAATAGCAAAACAAAATATAATCGGCCCTGGCGTGAACGTGTTAATAAACAGTCTGAAATAAAAATACAACAAAAGGAAATGGATATAAATAAAAAAGAAGAAATATTAACGGAAAAAGTTGTGAATGAGGTTGAATTGGAAATAGAAACGATACGAATCAGAAAAGAATATCAAGAAAAAATAGATAATTTGGTTTCCACTTTGGAAATGTATAAAATAAAAAATGAAGAATTAATGAAAAATTTAGAAAGTTTTGAAAGCAATGAAAAAGATTTAAAGAATATCYTTAACATGAGAACAGATGAATTAACTAAGAGTAATAAGAATTCCGAAAAAATAAGAAATGACATTGAACATCTTACGAATATCAATAATGAATTAAATCGTGAGATGGAAAATAAAAATGCATCTATTGCTAAACTTTCTACCGAAATAAAAGATCTAGTTGAATTAGTAGAATCGTATAAAAGAGAAAATATGGAGTTGATTGAGAAATTAGAAAGATTGAAAATAAATGAAACAAATTTAAATGTTATGCTCAGTAAGAAAATGGATGAATTTGTGGAGAATAATAAATATATAGAAAAAATGAAAACCGAGGCGGAACATCTAGCGAAGACTTGTAACAAACTGAATTACGAAATTGAAAATAAAGATGCACGCATTTTAGAAGTTACCAATCTGTTACAAAACAAATCTGACATGTTAGACGAATATAAAATAAAGTTAGAAAGCATTACACCGGAATATGATGTTTTAAAGAAACAACTTGAAGAAGAAAAATTAAGCGTACATAGATATAAATCAGAATTGGAAAGTTTGAAAGTAAACAGTGAAACGCATTTGGAAAATTTGAAGGAGACATTAAATATAAAAATTACTAAATATGAAGAACTAAATAAACAGTTTGCAGATTTGAACAGTCAAAATGTTATTCTACTTACAGAATTAGATTCATTGAGAAAACAATATACTGAATTAGAGGAAAAAAATACGAAATTGGAACAAAAACTTAGAAACAGTAATAGTAGAATTAAATTAAAAACGGACATGGAACAGTTACACGAACAGAATAAAGCTTAGATTTATGTATTATCTATAAGCACTCTTGTATTTTTAAGGATTCTCCAATGATAATAATAATATTAATGTAAATTTAATAAATACATATATGTACAATATATTACAATTTAATTGGTGTTTTTTCGTTTTGAATAATACAACTTTCTAGAGCAGAACAAAGATGTTCGCAGCAAGTACTTTTTAAGGGATCATATCTGTCACGCCTTAATAAACGCTCAGAGCACGTTTCTTTCTTATTACTCGTTATTTGCACCTTTTCAATGTATGCAAGCGTTACGAGCCAACGCCTATCGAAACGACTTTTCATCATAGTTTCTTCGGATCATGATTTTTCCCAGTTGCCTTCACCAAGAAAGGATCCTCTACTGGGATTCGATCCACTGATGTTGTTTGTAGTCGAGAGACACCATCGTCTCTACCACCTGAGCTATTCAGGGACTACTACTAATATGATATATATTAATATATATATATATATTATACTATTTTTATATTTATAATAATATCATATCGATTAATCGATACATTATTGATGAATTATTCCGCAGACACGTTATGAATCATTGAATAATTTCAATCTAGTCAATATTTTTATTTTGTTATTAAA